ACCAAAGAGAGACCGGAGACAGACTAGAGAGAGAGAGACCAGAGAGAGACTGTACAGAGAGAGATCAGAGAGCGACCAGAGAGAGGGACCAGTGAGATAGAGACCAGAAAGAGACCAGAGAGACAGACCAGAGAGAGACTAGAGAGGGACCAGAGAGAGAGACCAGATAAAGACCAGAGAGAGAGACCAGAGAAAAGGACCAGAAAGAGACCACAGAGAGACCAGAGAGAGACAGACCGCAGAAAGAGACCTGATGTTCACTAACTTAACTTGACTCAAATTTCACTTGCATCTGAATCTGAAAACTGGGTCCAGAACCAGACCCACTCAGGCTCATGAAAATGTAATTAAGGGAAAGTCCAGAGTGAATATTCTCTGAACAATCTTAAAATCACAAACAGCTCCATTCTTTCAGGCTCTCATAGAGGACCCATTGTTTGCTGGTCATTACACACATGGTGGGGTCTGGCACTTTTGTTTTACCACCTATTTCCATTTCTGTGTATTTATATATATATATATATAATCATTTAGGAGTGGTGCTTTGGAAATACTAATACTCTGGTCTCGTTGCTCGTACAAGGGAAAGGTCCGCTCTCGAACCCTGACTTATGAGTTAAACTTGGAGTAAATCAACCCCGGAGCAAATCTCTCCCGAACACGGGGGTTTTTATGGTCCTGTCGGTGAAGATCTACAGCTGGTGGAGGAGAGGAGCTGGAGGCGGGAGCAGGAGAACACTCTGAAAACTCTAACAACTCTAAACTTGCTGGTCTCGCTTTCTAGTATGTCTCTGCTCCCTCTATGATATTTCTCTGGTCTCTCCTTGGTCTTTCTATCTCTCTGGTGTCTCTCTGGTCTCTCTGTGGTCTCTCTCTAGTCTTTCTCTGGACTCTTTCTCTGGTCTCCCTCTCTCTGGTCTCCCTCTCTCGTCTGGTCTCCCTCTCTCTCTGGTCTCTCTCTCTGGTCTCTCTCTCTGGTCTCTCTCTGGTCTCTCTCTGGTCTCTCTCTGGTCTCTCTCTCTGGTCTCTCTTTGGTCTCTCTCTAGTCTCTCTCTAGTTTCATTATGGTCTCTCTCTGGTCTCTTTCTTGTCTCTTTCTGGTCTCTCTCTAGTCTCTTTCTGGTCTCTTTCTGGTCTCTTTCTGGTCTCTCTCTAGTCTCTCTCTAGTTTCTTACTAGTCGCTCTCTGGTCTCATTCTGGCCTCTCTCTGGCCTCTCTCTGGTCTCTCTCTGGTCTCTCTCTGGTCTCTCTCTGGTCTCTCTCTGGTCGCTCTCTAGTCTCTCTCTAGTCTCTCTCTGGTCTCTCTCTGGTCTCTTTCTGGTCTCTTTCTGGTCTCTCTCTAGTCTCTCTCTAGTTTCATTATGGTCTCTCTCTGGTCTCTTTCTGGTCTCTCTCTAGTCTTTTTCTGGTCTCTTTCTGGTCTCTTTCTGGTCTCTCTCTAGTCTCTCTCTAGTTTCTCTCTGGTCGCTCTCTTGTCGCTCTCTGGTCTCTTTCTGGTCTCTCTCTAGTCTTTTTCTGGTCTCTTTCTGGTCTCTTTCTGGTCTCTCTCTAGTCTCTTTCTGGTCTCTTTCTGGTCTCTTTCTGGTCTCTCTCTAGTCTCTCTCTAGTTTCTCTCTGGTCTCTCTCTGGTCTCTCTCTAGTCTCTCTCTAGTTTCTTACTAGTCGCTCTCTGGTCTCATTCTGGCCTCTCTCTGGTCTCTCTCTGGTCTCTCTCTGGTCTCTCTCTGGTCTCTCTCTGGTCGCTCTCTAGTCTCTCTCTAGTCTCTCTCTGGTCTCTTTCTGGTCTCTTTCTGGTCTCTCTCTAGTCTCTCTCTAGTTTCATTATGGTCTCTCTCTGGTCTCTTTCTGGTCTCTCTCTAGTCTTTTTCTGGTCTCTTTCTGGTCTCTTTCTGGTCTCTCTCTAGTCTCTCTCTAGTTTCTCTCTGGTCTCTCTCTGGTCTCTCTCTAGTCTCTCTCTAGTTTCTTACTAGTCGCTCTCTGGTCTCATTCTGGCCTCTCTCTGGCCTCTCTCTGGTCTCTCTCTGGTCTCTCTCTGGTCTCTCTCTGGTCTCTCTCTGGTCGCTCTCTAGTCTCTCTCTAGTCTCTCTCTGGTCTCTCTCTGGTCTCTTTCTGGTCTCTTTCTGGTCTCTCTCTAGTCTCTCTCTAGTTTCATTATGGTCTCTCTCTGGTCTCTTTCTGGTCTCTCTCTAGTCTTTTTCTGGTCTCTTTCTGGTCTCTTTCTGGTCTCTCTCTAGTCTCTCTCTAGTTTCTCTCTGGTCGCTCTCTTGTCGCTCTCTGGTCTCTCTCTGGTCTCTCTCTAGTCTCTCTCTAGTTTCTTACTAGTCGCTCTCTGGTCTCATTCTGGTCTCTCTCTGGTCTCTCTCTGGTCGCTCTCTAGTCTCTCTCTAGTCTCTCTCTGGTCTCTCTGGTCTCTCTCTCTGGTCTCTCTCTAGTCTCTCTCTAGTTTCTTACTAGTCGCTCTCTGGTCTCATTCTGGTCTCTCTCTGGTCTCTCTCTGGTCTCTCTGGTCTCTCTCTGGTCTCTCTGGTCTCTCTCTCTGGTCTCTCTCTCTCTCTCTCTCTCTCTCTCAGGTCTATAGTTTAACTTGAGTTTTTGAAGCGACAGGTTTAGCATCAGTACAGATCAGTAAAATACTGGGACTCCTTCTTTGCCGACAGCTGCTGGAGGCGGGACCAGGAACACTTCCAAACTCTAAAACTCTACATGTTCACATCCAGGTTTACATCCTCTGCAGGAGAATGTGTGTGAGTATCTAGCACATGCTCAGACAAAGTACAGCTGGGACCATGAAAGTACCATATGAACCGTGGACTATATGTGACAGCAATAACAAACGTCAGAGAACCATGTGAGTACCATGTATTCCAAATGCATTTAAACTATTGCAATAATCTTCTATCTATAAAGAGACAGGACCAATCCGAATTAGTGTTGGGCCGAATAAAGATTTTCAATAAGGGCAGACGCACAACGCACACACACACACACACACACACACACACACACACACACACACACACACACACACACACACACACACACACACACACACACACACACACACACACACACACACACACACACACACACACACACACACACACACACACACACACACACACACACACACACACACACACACACACACACACACACACACACACACACACACACACACACACACACACACACACACACACGGACAGACATTCCTTGCATTTATAGATAGATTAACACACTGATATTGGATGCGATATGACACAAAAACAAAGAATCTTGACCTTTAAAGGCTCAGAGTCACCAAACCAGACCAGAGCAACCCTCCACACCCACTCGGCTTTTGGATTTCAGTCAGAATACATGGAAGAATATACTTTGGTGTTTGGTGACAAGATCAGCCCCACGTCCCCCCCCCCCCCCCCCTGACCCTCTGCCCCCCCCTCTTCTTTCAACACACGCACAGACCAATCAGAAGACCCGGCTGCCTAGACCAAACCAATATATGTCCCTCCAACTCCTCCAGACGGCCCTTGGGGAGAAGTATACAAGAAAAATAATCATAAAATAAAAGTGGAGCAGAAAACATCGCCGCAACATCACAACTATGAAAATATGCAAATAGTGAACTGGACTCCTGCTGGGACTCTGAGGAGCACAGGGACTGGCCTCCTGCTGGGAATCTGAGGAGCACAGGGACTGGCCTCCTGCTGGGAATCTGAGGAGCACAGGGACTGGCCTCCTGCTGGGAATCTGAGGAGCACAGGGACTGGCCTCCTGCTGGGAATCTGAGGAGCACAGGGACTGGCCTCCTGCTGGGAATCTGAGGAGCACAGGGACTGGCCTCCTGCTGGGACTCTGAGGAGCACAGGGACTGGTCTGCTGGGACTCTGAGTCTTTGAACCGAGTCAAATATGACCCAGGTTATATTTGAAAAGCCTCACATTACTGCTTTACAGCTAAAAGCAACACATTACAGTAACTTCTTCTACTTTTGTCACACATTACTCCCTACACAGCCCACGACCTCCCACCAGGTGTAGCCTGGTCTTACCACACCATGGTACTCATTTCATTTTGTACTATGGTCTGGATTTGCTCCATTGACTCCGTTAACAGGTGGGAGGGGTTAACTCCTTTTGCAGATTGAAACCATTGGATCTGAGTTTACCGTGACGTATGTAATGAGCCCGAGTGAGTGAGACATTTAGCATAGCTTTAGCATTTAGCCTAGCTATAGCCATCTCCTTTGCCACTAACGGAGCCCGTGGGGAGCAGAGCCATGTTTTCAACACTGACATTTACTAAACATTCCTCTTGCTCCGGCTTCAGTTTCTTGATATTTGGATTGAACCAGAACAGATTATTTTACTATCGCATTCTCCGACAAACTACAACCAGAAAATTCAGCACAAACTCTTGACGTCAGCGACACCGACCTACAACACCCGCCTCCCCCGCTCTCTGATTGGTCGGAGGGGATTCAACCGAGGAAACTGCAGCCACTAGGATCAGACCCAGACGTACATGTAGGAAATGATCATGGACCAGAGTTTACACATGGTAAGACCAGACGTACATGTAGGAAATGATCATGGACCAGAGTTTACACATGGTAAGACCAGACGTACATGTAGGAAATGATTATGGACCAGAGTTTACACATGGTAAGACCAGACGTACATGTAGGAAATGATCATGGACCAGAGTTTACACATGGTAAGACCAGACGTACATATAGGAAATGATTATGGACCAGAGTTTACACATGGTAAGACCAGACGTACATGTAGGAAATGATCATGGACCAGAGTTTACACATGGTAAGACCAGACGTACATGTAGGAAATGATTATGGACCAGAGTTTACACATGGTAAGACCAGACGTACATGTAGGAAATGATCATGGACCAGAGTTTACACATGGTAAGACCAGACGTACATGTAGGAAATGATCATGGACCAGAGTTTACACATGGTAAGACCAGTGTGTGTGTTTTACCAGAACTGTGCTCGATGCTCTGCTCTGGCTCCGTCTTGGCGCTGCAGTGGTGGCTCTCGCTGCTCGACTGCCTCAGATCCGGGAGACTTCTGCGGTGGAACCCGTCTCCATCGTCCACCACCACCACCAGAACCTGCTCCTTCTCCTTCTCCTTCTCCTTCTCCTGCTCCTGCTCCTGCTCCCACTCGCCTCCTCGCTCCACAGACACCTCCTCCTCGCCTCTCGGGTGCAGAATGGCTTCCACCGAGCTGGCGCTGAGCATGGTGAGGTCGGCCAGGCTGCCCTCGGGATGGGCCAGTCTGCAAAGGACCCACGGACGCAAAGTTATGCTCCATAGTACCTCCTCACACACACACACACACACACACACGTTTGTATTGATATACTTATGAGGATTGTGTTGCTTGTATCTTGTTGTTAGTCGCACAGTGGTTCTCAAAAGTTGTCTGGAAAATACACACTTGGTTTGATTTTGTGGTTTACTTTTATATCTTTCCTGTTTGATCGGTGTCTCTGAGTCTAAATGTAGTGCTCTTCCCTGTTTGTTGCTGGTCCTCTGTCAATAGTCTAAGTCTGAGGGATTTTTTTTACCTTGTTTATCACCCTGACATCAATTTTGGTATTAAATTATTGTATTTTGCATTTCCTGCTTTTTGAATCCTCCTTTCTTTTCATTGCGTGATAATTCTGGTACAAACACGGGTCAACATTTTCCCCAAGTGAACCAGAAATGACCAGAAACTATATATTCTATACAGCGACTTGGCTTCCCCTAACCCTAACCCTAACCCTCCCTACATTTCCTCACACAATGTTCTTGTTTGTATTTCTGTCTCTTATCGAGTTACAGGGTGTCACCTTTTGTCTATTTGATAAAACATCTCTCAGAAAAACTCTGGCGTCGAGAAGGTTTAGTCTCTTGTTTTGGAAAGAGCAGAATCTGTGTTCCTTTGTTTGGAGTCTGTCGGCGTCTTTTGGCAGCAGCAGGATTTTAAAGCTACAGACCAAACGTGAGCGTGCGGTTGTATTGAACTTGTTTTTTCTTGTATTCAACAGAACACATGAGGACACTAAGACAAAAACAGGACAAAGTAGACACTATACTCAAAACAGAAGTCGCTCAGACACAGGTTGACATCCGCACACTCGGCCAGGATCTCTCAGAGCTCCTCAATACCGGCGACCTTTCATTCAGAGGCCACAGTGGCTCAGTTGGTAGAGCATTGGCTTTAGAGCCTGAAGGTCGTGGGTTCGAGTCCACCACGGGACCTTCTCCACCGACTCCCACTGATGGCTGCTGTTGTTGTGTCCTTGGGCAAGACACTTAACCTCTGGGAACAGCAGGTGCCACAGTGGGGCGGCTGCGGCTGTAACGTGCCAAACTGCTGTTGTGTCCTTAGGCAAGACACTTCACCCCCATTGCCTAGAATGAGTCTGGTGTGTGTGTGTGGATGGTTGGTGGTGGTCGGAGGGGCCGATGGCACAGACTGGTTGCCTCGCTTCTGTCAGTGTGCCCCAGGGCAGCTGTGGCTACAGTAGCAGTTTATCAATGAACAATGAATCATGACAAGTGAAGTGTCTTTGAGTGCCAAAAAAGCGCTGCATAAAACCAACGCATTATTGTTCAAACTGATTTAATTCAATACGATTCATGTTCTTGGACCCTCATATAATATTAATGTGTTGGTTTTATACAGCGCTTTTTGGACTCTCAAAGACGCTTCACATGTCATTCTTTCACTCCAAACACAGTGATTATGAACTGCTACTGTAGCCACAGCTGCCCTGGGGCAAATAATCAAGTCTTTATTAGATGGTTTGGGCTGAGTGTGTGAGGGGGGTCCTCTCTGTGTCACGTCTGTCTGAAAAAGCAGATCTGAAGCAAGTTTAGTAACATAAATAAATATGAAAATAAACTTCAATCATATTTATATTTATATTATTTTATTTTGTTTGTATTTTATTGGTTATTAATGGTATATTTATTTTGTTACCCTATAATGTAACCCTTCTTTCTTTTTAACTACTCTTTTATAAACACATATTTTGGGTACCTGCACTTAACTGTAGCATTTAATAGAAAAATAGTAATATACAAATACTATAGTATAACAAATATTGTGTTGTTCTAACAAAGTCTGTGCATTCACTGTATCAAGGAAACACAATTAAGTATTTTAAAAAGAGAAACAATCTAGAGGCCAGAAATACATCTGAGTTTGTGGTTTAAAAGTTAGGTACCGCAGCTTTAAGTGTGTGATTTTGTAATGTTTCCAGCCGAGGTTCACTCTGGTTTAACGACTTTTACAACTGTCCTGGTTCGATCTTGACTCAAACCTACACAAAGTTGCCGATTACTGGTTTCTCCTCCCTTTAGTTTCAACACCACATTTGAGAACCACTGACAGTTCAAACCAGAATCTCTCATCTCCTCAACGATATTCATACAAAACTAATGTGCTTCCCCCAGCTCTACGTGGCCCTACTCTACTCTACTCTACTCTACTCTACTCTACTCTACTCTACTTAAGCCAAGCAGAGCAGAGCAGAGTATTGTAGAGCAGAGCCAAGAAGGATAGAGTAGAGTTGAGTTGAGTAGAGCAGAGTATAGCTGAGTAGAGTAGAGCAGAGTATAGCTGAGTAGGGCTGAGTAGGGCTAAGTAGGGCAGAGTAGGGCTGAGTAGGGCTGAGTAGACCCGGTGGAAACAGGGCTTTTGTCTCATTCTGAAGATGCAAAAAGGGAGAAGTATTTCAGTCTTGAATGTGGAGTGGATCAGGCAGAGAGAGTAAAGCAGGCCACATTCCTTATGCATTCTCTGGGACAGACTCTGTGCTCCAGAGACACACGCAGAGACAGTCAAAACTAGTTTTCTGGACTTCTCAGGCAAAGGAACATGGCACAGACCCCTGATGCTCATACTCACTTGGATTGCATGGGGATTCTTTTCTTGATGCTGCTCAGGGAGGTTACAGAAAATGGGAAGGATTTACAGATATGAGACAGTTCTTCACACGACGTTGGACACAAGTGGTTTTCATGTTAAAGGAAAGTTCATAGAGATGCCAGGTCAACCATATCCCCACATGTACCTATTGTCTGTCAACATTAACGCTTATGGACACTGGTCTCTGCTCTATGGACCAAAGACTATGTGTTTTTATCATTGCATTTCCTGTGTTTGAACGGTTTGATTCTCTGATCTGTGCCGTGGTGAGTATTGCCATAGCAACGGTAATGGCTGCCATAGTCACCATTTCAACTGTTGCTCAGGTAATTGTCCCCGTGACAATTGTTGCCGTGGCAATGGTGCAACAATCCCTATGGCAACTGTTGCTATGGCAATCCCGGTTGCCAGGATAGTTGCCTCAGTGATTGCCATAGCAACGATTGTCATGGTAATGGTTGCCTTAGTGGTGGTTGCCGTTACCATGGTCACCATTGCAACTGTTGCTATGGCAAAGGTCACAATGGCAACCATCACTATGGCAACAATCACTATAGGAACTATCACCATCAACCAACTGCTACCATGACAACTGACATACAATCTGGTGAATCTTGTTTTAATGCAAATTATTGTTTACAGTTGTCATAGTGATGGTTGCCAGGGTAGTTGCCATAGTAATTGCCATGGCAACCGTTGCTAAGGCAATCAGTATGGCAACTGTTGAGAACCCTGACATAGACTGCAGTGTTAATTAATGTATTATAATTAACATTTCTGGACAGTGGTCGCTCCCTATGGACCAATGGATCCTACTGTATGAGTTATTATTGCATTTCGTGTGTTCAAACCATTTGATTCTCTGATCTGTTGTGGAGGAATCGACCAATTTGTACAGTCCTGCTGTTGTGATTTAGGTCTATACATAAATAAAACTATTTGAATAAAGATTATTACAAAGAACAACAACAAAATTATTACAAGAACGATAAAGTCTAAGTTTGAAGTCAAATCTAAAATGATGCACTGTTTTATGGCTGACCGTGCATTATGGACAAAACAAAGTGAGAGGAAAGAAGTATTATTTAAGGCTTTTAAGGCTCTTTCAATAAGACCAACATGTTTCTTATCATTAAAAGAACCTCATAAGCCTTAAACATACAGAACACAGAATTATCTTTTGACATGGTATTGTTAACACATTAGCTTGGACTAGCATGCTGTAAGATCACACAGACATGTTACCAGTGTTTCGAAAAGGATTTAAAACAGAGACATTGGAACAGGAGGCTACAAGCAAAAAGTAAACTTGTACAATGAATTATCTGAATATTAACAGAATGAGAGAAGAGTTTTGTGATGAGGGGGAGGAAGAGGGGAGGGGACAGGGTGAGGATGGAGGCACAGAAGGCAAGCAGCACCCACCTAGTCATGATCATATACACTCGCCCATTGACCTTAGCGTGGCTGAGAGAGAGCGAGAGTACAGAGAAAGATAATGGATAAAAGCAGACATGAGCCGAGCAAGCTGCACACGACGACTTAACATTAAGGTTTGTTAATGTTAATAAAAAAAGGTTGGATATGTAGGAAAACATCATAAACGTGGATTTCACAGACGCCAATAGTGGATGTGCAGAGTTAGGAGCCTCAGCCAGGACCATAGACTGTATATAGATGGATGGACAATGCTAACATGCTAGCTTAATGAGTTCTGAAATGAAAATGAAAATGAAATGAGGTAATATTTGCTTGAATCAGATGCCTTTTGGAATTTTTGTCTCACTTTTGAGTCCATTACTACTGTGTTAAAACAAGATTCACCAACGGGACAAAGCCATTAAGTCTTTTTTCAAGAACTGTTGTCTTTATTTTCTCATTTCAAGTGAGAAATTTATTGTATATTTTAAAACAAGATCATTTTGTGTGTCCCATTGGTAAATCTGATTTCAAGGCAGTCAGAATGTGCTCAGATTACGAAACATTTAGCAGAATTTGATCATTTTTTGACTTGTTTTTCATAACTTTTTGTAGTGTCTTGACGTTCATTGAAAAGTAAACACCTCTTGCTCACCATTTTGGGCCATTTTGGGCCTAAAAAAATACCTAGTTTAGCACTTTATATGATCCTGGTATTCATATTGTAATTTTTTCTTTGTTAATCCAGATACGAGCCTAAACAACTGACCAATCAGGAGCCTTCTCTTCGTGAATTTGGCTTTAGTAGCTTTTGGTAACTCAGCCGTTGCTACCAACAAGGCTAGCATACATTCGGACATTTGGCTCCACATTCCCGTTAAAATAACCGGTTCAAGCTAGCTCTAATCGGCTTCTTCCACATTAAGGTGACACCAGAAGTCTGTCAGTCCACTCCTAACATACAGTCTACGATCCGAGACCCAGGATTTGAACAAATGAAAGCTTGCCACTGAGATGATTCATGATGCTACATATACAACCATGTGGCGAATGAGCAGGTTATGAGAAAGAAGCAGAGATGAGACGTTAGGGCTGTTTTAACGATTATTCTTTCGGTTAACTGCTGAGTAGATTCTAAAAGCTCAGTGAATATGGGATTTCTTATACTTTGACCAAAACACAGCTTCAGTGATGCCTTTAGAGAGCGGCTTCGGAGGCAGGACTGGTACACATTGGATTGTTGGATTAAAAAGTTGTTATAGAATGATCTGAGTCATGAAACCTCTTCTCACATGGTTTAGGTTCAACAAAGCAAACAGCTTCTTCAATAATAGAATAGATACAGCTCCAGATCAGACCAGTGGCTTCTAAAGCAATTCTCAAGCTCTTAACACTAGAACTCCCAGGATTCTGAAACTTTAAATCAGTGGGATTCTAAAAAGTTAGATTTCAATATTTTTTTATTAAAAGTATTTAATAAAAAAGTATTAAAGGTCATTTATAACATTAGTCACTTTTAATAAGTGCTAAAACTGGTGAAAGGCTAATGCTAAAGGCTAAGGCTAATTACTGCACGTAAACAGTGTGTTGCAGTCCAAGACCAGTCCGGGACCAGTCCAAGACCAGTCCAAGACCAGTTCATGACCAGTCCAAGACCAGTCCGGGACCAGTCCAAGACCAGTCCAAGACCAGTCTGGGACCAGTTCATGACCAGTCCAAGACCAGTCCAGGAAATACACTTCCAAAACTAAAATCCGTCCAATTGACTGCTCTGGGAGTTTTAGTGTTAAAGTCAAAGCCAGGCCCCACATTTCATTTCTAGATCAGCCTGGACTGTCGCTGATTTAAGATGTTCTTACAGGATATTTCTGAGTTTGATTTAGGACGATACTAAAGTAAATGGAGTAGAACCTGTAGATGGTGCTCTGCTCTTTGGCCACGACCGCCTCCAGGTCCGTGAGGCGCAGGAACGGCTCGTGGAAGTAGTGCAGGTGCAGGATACAGACCAAGAGGAACGAGGTCGGGATGAAGATCCGCGTGAAGAGCTGAGCCAGCGTGAACTGCTCCAGACCCAGGTCCTCCAGGCTGAAACCCAACACAAACAGAAGGGCTGTACCAAACGCCGCGATCAACATTAGTTTGAGCGTAAAGGTAGTTCTTCCCAGAGACTGTAAATATTAGCGGACGTAGTGGCGCCTGTATCCTCCGCTCAGATGTATTATCAACATGGACCTTTTCAAAATGGCCGTGAGAAGCCGCTCCCACAGGGAAATGGTGGAAAAAGGCTTTTGCGCATGCGTTAGCTGCACGAGTAGCTTTCGGAGCGGAGGCTGTATCATTTGCGATTGCGTGAGCCAGCACGAGCCATTCTACAACATTTATAGACATTTATCAACACTGAAGGTCATTGGTCAACTCCCTATGGACCAGTACCATGTGTTCTATGTTCTATATGGGTTTGAACTGTTTGGTTCTCTGTGATGGAGAATTCAACGGTTTTGTTAAGTCCTCTGAGATAACGACTGTTGTGATTTAGGGCGATACAAGAATACATTGAATTGAATTGAATGGTTGAAAAAAATGTGGTCATTCAAAATTGCTCAGAGGATAAACTGAGATAAACAAAAAAAGATTATTTCCTCAGCATTGACTTAGCATCTGGAACTTAGCGTCGATCCGACTTTTGAGAAGAAAAAAGGCGCCAAAAGAATGAATTAGACAATTCTGTTTCCTGTACACCATCACCGGCAAGGAGTAAGATTGTAGGCATGTTTTTGAGTCGAGACCCGCTCCCACTGGTTCTTCTACACTAGACAATCAGTAAGTAAGTAATCTTTATTCATATAGCGCATTTCACAGACCCTCAGATATTTTTTCCATGAAGACAGAAGTGAGACACCATTCACGTTCTGCATTCATTCCTATTCTACATGTTTTTAGTGGTAGGAGAAACCGGAGGAAACCTACGCAAGTACAGGGAGAACATGCAAACTCCAATCAGAAAAAGCCAGCTCCGACCGGAATTCGAACCCAGGACCTTCTCGCTGAGAGGCAAGAGTGCTATCCACTCATCCACCGTGCCACCCACGAGCCTCTACTCTACTCTACTCTACCCTACCCTACCCTACCCTACTCTACCCTACCCTACTCTACCCTACCCTACTCTACCCTACTCTACCCTACTCTACTCTACCCTACTCTACTCTACCCTACTCTACCCTACTCTACCCTACTCTACTCTACCCTACTCTACCCAACCCTACCCTACGCAACCCTACTCTACCCTACTCTACCCTACCCTACTCTACCCAACCCTACTCAACCCTACTCTACCCTACTCTACCCTACCCTACCCTACTCTACCCTACCCTACTCCACCCTACCCTACTCTACTCTACCCTATCCTACTCTACTCTACTCTACTCTACCCTACTCTACCCTACCCTACTCTACTCCACCCTACTCTACCCTACCCTACTCTACCCAACCCTACTCAACCCTACTCTACCCTACCCTACTCTACCCTACCCTACTCTACTCTATCCTACTCTACCCTACCCTACTCTACTCTACTCTACTCTACCCTAACCTACTCTACCCTACTCTATCCTACCCTACTCTACCCTACCCTACCCTACTCTACCCTACCCTACTCTACCGTACTCTACTCTACTCTACCCTACCCTACCCTACTCTACCCTACCCTACTCTACTCTACCCTACCCTACCCTACTCTACCCTACTAAGTAAAACAAGAATATTGAGATTCTCTAAAATGGGTCAAAATGTTCATATTCAAAGTCCATCAAGTAAACACATCTATAAAATAATGATGAATGTGGATCTCACCCGCCCTTGTCCAGGTTCAACATCCTGGACCAGAAATCCAGGGACCTCTTGAACTGGAAGGTGTAGACGAGCGTCAGGACTAACATGGTGTAGACCACCACAGACATCCAGAAGTACTTCAAGATCCTCCTCCACCACTCGTAATGGACCTGAGGAAGTCATCTGTAATTATATAGCGCCTTCACAGACAGAGTCACAAAGCAGATTAACGTTATTGGGTGTTTTTAAAGAAAATGGGAAACCGGAGCACCCAGAGGAAACCTACGCAGACACAGGGAGCTTCTTTGTTATGGTTTAGGTTTATTTCCTGTTTTGTAGTTTATCAACCCCTGTATCTGTCGTTCTACTCCCTGTTGTGTGAATACCCTTGCGTGTCGTCCATCACTTCCTGTTCATTGTCATATTTTGGTCTCTCTCAGGTTTCTCACTGGTCTCTCACTGGTCTCTGTGACTGGTCTCTGTCACTGGTCTCTCTCTTATCTCTCACTGGTCTCTCACTGGTCTCTGTGACTGGTCTCTCTCTTGTCTCTCGCTTATCTCTCACTGGTCTCTTTCATGTCACTCTATGGTCTCTCACTGGTCTCTCAATGGTCTCTCTCTTGTCTCCCTCTGGTCTCTTTCTGGTCTGGTCTGTCTCTTGGTTTTTTTCTTCACCCCGAGTTTGGTTACGTTTGGTATTTTCCTCAACATTATTGCATTTATTAAATCACTTAAGTTTTGGCTTCTATTCATTTTGCCACGTCCCACTCTTGCTGCAGCGCTAACCACTGCGCTCCTGTGTGTGTCCTGTGTTGAGCTTGGTACATAACATTATTTCTTGTGTCAAATTGACTGAGGTGTGAAACCAGCTCCCGTTGGTGAATGCGGCTCATGGACTGTATACAGATGGACCATGCTAACCTCTCTCTGGCTCGCGGCCCTCCGCATGAAGCCTGGTTCACACAAGACAATTTTAAAATTGTCGGCCGATTTTCCTAACCTGAGAGACCCCACACACAGAGATACAAAATCAAGGGTCTAACCACTTTGGTCGTACACTGTGTGGTGCGCAGCCACACGGCAAAATCACGCAAACTGATTTCCCCCCCCGATCATTCCCAGATCAGACGGAAATCCCACAAAATCTCTTGAGATCAAGTGTGACTTCAGAGTAAACAATCATGGAGGACGAAGAGGATGCAGTGGCCATAGTTTTCAGTTTGTTTTTAAAAGAGAAACACGAGCTCGGACTATATATATTTATGCCATTGACTGTTATTCAGATTCAGGTCGTCTTCTGATTGGCTACACGCCGCAGTCAGCACACCACACACGAAGAGAAATCAGGCCAAAACAATCCAACATGTTGGATATCCCCAAAGTCCTTCTGAGCGACGCAGTCTTAACACACCACACATGGAAAATCCATCAGATTTTTTTTACGAGAATCGGAGCGTTCTTAAGATTATCGTTAGGGGTAAATCAGGTTTTCAATCGGCCCAATTATCCTGCCGTGTGAACCAGGCTTTAGTTTCTCTGGTCTCTCTCACTTCAGCTGTTGTAAGTTCAGGTGGTTAGAAAATTGGATAAAGTATGTTTGAGAGGTTTTTCAACTTTAAAACATACAGCTGCTACAAGGATTTTACTTACTGTGGGTATCTTTTAGAACACATTACCCCCGCCACAAACCAGGCACCACTGTATTGTCTTTGTAAATCCAGATATGAGCCGTAACAACTGACCAATCAGGTGCCTTCTGTTCCCAAACAGCAAGAGCAGACCAGTGGTGCTCCCGATTGGCTCGTTGGTTGCTAGGACGTTGCTACCTTCATCATTTGCCTCGATTCTCGAACCTGAAGCCTTTTTAAGTCAGCTCTAATCGGTGCCTTCCGCACTTTCAACAGTCTATGAAGCTGCCATGTGTCCGTGGGCAAGGCACCTCAACACCTCCCCCCATTCTCTGCATTCAATTGTGTGTGATTGTGTGTGTGCTGGGTGAGTGGTTCCTTGATGAGAAGCTCTTTTCGTGCCTTAAAGGTAGAAAAGCGTGATACAAATGTGACCATTTCACAGTCGAGCTGTCACAAGTGCAGCTCTGGCTCATAAATGCTGACATAAGCAGCGAGGGAGCGACAATAGGGAAAATATAATAACATCAGACAAAAGTCCTGGTTTTTCTCTTCGATTTAGATCTGTTTCAAATATGCCCTCAGAAGGAGCAAGTGATGGGGAGCAGTGCCTGGCTCCTGGAAAAGCCATGTTCCAGCTTCTTCCCTCTGGCAGAAGGCATTGTTCACTGAGATGCAGGACATTGGGAAATGCTAGCATGCTAACAGCTTCTTTCCACAAGATGTCGTCAGTCTGAACAAATCACTTCAATGATCTTGCTGATTAGTTTCACTGTTTTTGTGTACTTTATATCTTTCATTCCTGTACTTACCTGGTGCACACTGGGGACTCTTGCACATGTATTCTGTGGTTTTACTGCAAATGGCAAATAATCTGAATCTGAGAGTGTACATTCTGCCTGTGACCGTATCCTGCTGACACTGGTGCAGTAGTAGCATCACAGTGAATGCTGGTCTGAACCCCTTATTACAAAGAGAACCCAGATTTTTTAACAAATACGTATGGACAGTATATTGACAATTTCTTACCTGTTGGATTACGTATATGGTATATGGTATACAGTTTAGACCAAAAGTTTGGACACACTTTCTCATTCAATGAGTGTCCTTTCTTTTCATGACTATTGACTGTAGACCCACACCAGGCTGTGTAAGGGCTGTTTGACCAATGAGGAGAGAGATGGTGCTGGGCCACATGACCTCCACAGTCACCGGACCTGAACCCAGTCCAGATGGTTTTGGGGCTGGACCAAAGAGTGAAGCCGAAGGGGCCAACAAGTGCTAAGCATCATGGGAACTCCTTCAAGACTGTTGAAGACCATTTCAGGTCCTCTTGAAGCTCATCAAGAGAAGTCCAAGACTGTGCAAAGCAGTATCAGAGACTTTGAAGAACCTAGAATATATTCCACCTCAATTAATTCATAGTGTTGATGCCTTCAGTGTGAATCTACAATTTTCATAATCATAAAAAAAAAAATATATGAATGAGGTACTCCTCATGAATGGTTAAAGAGTTTCCTTGTGTATGAGAAACGCAAAAGAAAAAGTGCTAAACCACAGAATTTTTAAGCTCAAAATGGTGAGTGTGACACAAACTGTTTACATTTAAGTCAGTAGAAGCCGAGCGAGTTGGAGTAAAACTTTGTCCGCGAGCACTTCCCTATTGGGCTTCACTGAGCTAGGTTAGCATTGTCCGTCAATTAGTCAACACAAACACATTTTACTTCCTCAACCTCGCACTATTTCAAAGTAAAACTAAGTGTGCCACAAGGATGGGTACTTGGCCCAACACTTTATTGCCTTTAGCTAAAGATAGAAATTTTGTTGGATTTTAAAAAAAGTAGTATTTAATCTTCACTTGTGTTGTTCGCGCCTCATTCCTACGGTTCTGTAACGACATTTCCCCACTGCGGGACACTGAGGATCTCTTCATCTTAATCCTAATCCCTGAAAAGACACTCGGTCCCCATGTTTATGTACAATCTCTTTATGTGGCTACAGAATGACAGCTGACACTAAAGTCTTTTAAAACGCACTGTGGGTTTTCATTAAGGGCCCTGGGTTTGCCTCTGGGGGGTCGCGGTTGTAAAACACATCACGGAGCTCGAGGTACACAGACTTTATGACACGTGCTGAATCGTCTCCAGTGTGTTTTAAGGACAGAAGTTGACGGAAAATGGCTCAAAAGGCTCAAGATGGGACCTAACTTTTATAATATGTGACAAAATAACATATTCTTCTACTCTGCCAATGTTCAAATCCAGGTTAAAAACGATAATAATTATCTGTGCACACAACTGAAGGATTGTATCTCACTCTTGCAACACTACACACATAACACAACACTACACACACAACACAACACTACACACACAACACTACACACACAACACTACACACACAACACAACATTACACACAACACAACACTACACACAAGACGACATTACACACACAACACAACACTACAACACAACATTCCACACATAACACAACACACATAACACAACATTACACACACCACAACACTACACACACAACACTACACACACAACACTACATTACACACACAACACAACACTACACACACAACACAACATTCCACACATAACACAACACACATAACACAACATTACACACACCACAACACTACACACACAACACAACATTCCACACATAACACAACATTACACACACCACAACACTACACACACACAACACAACATTACACACACCACAACACTACACACACAACACAACACTACACACACAACACAACACTACACACACAACACAACACTTTTTAGTGTATTGTGATTATTGGTGATTTTAACGCCTTTCCTGTTTTTTTTAAAGAGTTTTTCTTTGTGTCTGAAACATTAACAGCCTGTTATAGAAATCTGACCTGTGTAGTTTGGAGATTTCATGACGCTTTGAAGCAACTGCGGACTTTCTCCACCGACTTCCACTGTCTGCTGTCATTGTGTTCTTGGGCAAGACACTTAACCTCTGGGAACAGCAGGTGCCACAGTGGGGCGGCTGAGGCTGTAAAATGCCAAACTGTGGTTGTGTCCTTAGGCAAGACACTTCACCCCCATTGCCTAGAATGAGTGGTGTGTGTGTGAATGGTTGGTGGTGGTGGGAGGGGTCAATGGCACAGACTGGTTGCCTCGCTTCTGTCAGTGTGCCCCAGGGCAGCTGTGGCTACAGTAGTTTATCCCCACCATGTTTGGAGAGAATGAATGACATGTAAAGAGTCTGAGTGTCCAAAAAAGCGCTGTATAAAACCAATGCATTATTATTATTATTAATTTGTTCAAGGCAGTACTACAATAAAACATGTCTTCTGTGTATGATTGCGACCTGGCAATGGAAATGGAAGTAAGTTATTTACTAGTCTGTTGGCATATTAATATATTATCTGTTGGCAGAGAGGTCAGCGGCTTCGTGGGAAACATGTTTTTGTAAATATGTGTGTCAAAGAACAGCATGCTCCAGGTCAGAGCAGATTGTTTTATCTAAATCCGAGCTGTATCTGAGTGGGAGCGCGTAGAGAGAAGCCTTGAGCCACACATATCAATACTGACTTCATTTGTTTCATATCTGGAGTAGAGAGTGTATGTGTTAGTTAGCTGCATTTAGTACTGAATAACCTCACACTTTGATTTCATAACAGCTCTTGGTTGTTCTCATTGTTTATGCTCTCGGCCTGTACAGAAATTCCACAACAGCGCTAATTTTTCTGACGCCAAAATGGTGAGTGTGACACAAACAGTTACTGAACAATAGGAGTTTACGTTTACATGGGAGTCAATAGAAGCCGGAGCAAGTTGGAGCGAAACTTTGTCCATGAGCACTTTCCTACTAGGCTTCATTGAACGAGCGGGTTAGCATTGTCCATCCATTACTCAACATACATTTTTACTTACTTTTACTTGTATTTCAAAGTCAAATTATTCTATTCTTTAGTCAAATTATTCTGTTCCTAAGTCAAATTTGGTGTACCACAAGGGTCGATACTCGGCCCGATCCTCTTCACATTCTACACACTGCTGTTAGCCGACATCTTTAGAAAACCATGATATTAACTTCCACTGCTGCAAAGACACAGCTTTACCTGTCTATGAAACCAAACCAGACCAATCAGTTAGAAAGGCTCAGTGCTGCATAAAAGACCGAAAAACATGGATGACCCCAAATGATCTGCTTCTCAACTCGGAAAACACAGGTCAAGGAAGCAGACAGTCTCTACATTCAAGGCCAGGGTAAAAGCAGGCCTCTTTAGACTCAGGGAAGACTTAAAAATACAACCTTAAGTCTAAAAACACAGATTGTCAGTGACGCAGCATTTGGAGCCCCCTGCTGAAGGAGTGTGGTAACGTTAGCACTATCTCCTCCCTTTCCTTCCTTGTCTGATGTCACTATGACTTCAACTGTAGTTTGTTCATTGCTATTCACCAGATGTCATAGTATTTCATGGGAACCTTGCACTAAACAGCCTCAGTCCTGGACCCACAGCCTCAGTCCTTGATCTACAGCCTCAGTCCTGGACCCACAGCCTCAGTCGTGGACCCACAGCCTCAGTCCTGGATCTACAGCCTCAGTCCTGGATCTACAGCCTCAGTCCTGGATCTACAGCCTCAGTCCTGGATCTACAGCCTCAGTCCTGGATCTACAGCCTCAGTCCTGGACCCACAACCTCAGTCCTGGACCCACAGCCTCAGTCGTGGACCCACAACCTCAGTCCTGGATCTACAGCCTCAGTCCTGGATCTACAGCCTCAGTCCTGGATCTACAGCCTCAGTCCTGGATCTACAGCCTCAGTCCTGGACCCACAACCTCAGTCCTGGACCCACAGCCTCAGTCGTGGACCCACAACCTCAGTCCTGGATCTACAGCCTCAGTCCTGGATCTACAGCCTCAGTCCTGGATCTACAGCCTCAGTCCTGCATCTACAGCCTCAGTCCTGGACCCACAACCTCAGTCCTGGATCTACAGCCTCAGTCCTGGACCCACAACCTCAGTCCTGGACCCACAGCCTCAGTCCTGGATCTACAGCCTCAGTCCTGGATCTACAGCCTCAGTCGTGGACCCACAGCCTCAGTCCTGGATCCACAGCCTCAGTCCTGGACCCACAGCCTCAGTCGTGGACCCACAGCCTCAGTCCTGGATCTACAGCCTCAGTCCTGGATCTACAGCCTCAGTCCTGGACCCACAACCTCAGTCCTGGATCTACAGCCTCAGTCCTGGACCCACAACCTCAGTCCTGGACCCACAACCTCAGTCCTGGACCCACAGCTTCAGTCCTGGACCCACAGCTTCAGTCCTGGATCTACAGCCTCAGTCCTGGACCCACAGCCTCAGTCCTGGATCCACAGCCTCAGTCCTGGACCCACACCCTCAGTCCTGGACCCACAGCCTCAGTCGTGGACCCACAGCCTCAGTCCTGGACCCACAGCCTCAGTCGTGGACCCGCAGCCTCAGTCCTGGACCCACAGCCTCAGTCCTGGACCCACAGCCTCAGTCGTGGACCCGCAGCCTCAGTCCTGGACCCACAGCCTCAGTCCTGGACCCGCAGCCTCAGTCCTGGACCCACAGCATCAGTCCTGGACCCACAGCCTCAGTCCTGGACCCACAGCCTCAGTCCTGGACCCACAGCCTCAGTCCTGGACCCACAGCCTGACCCTCAGTGGGAGCAGATTCCTCTTTCAAAATGGGCCTCATAGAGTTTTATCCGAGTTTTTAAAACTTTTTCCAGCTGAGGTTTTGAGTGGTTCTTTGTCAATACAGGACGGTCTAGAGACAGCAATGATTCAGGACATTTAAAATAGCATTATGTAAGATTTTCAAGTCAAGTCATCATTAAATGGCCCTAATCTGTCAAAAGGCGTTAATAAAACGTGGTCTATTCCAATACTTCTTTAACTGATAACAGTAGTTCAGAGATATTTAGATTTCTAAATTAGTTTTCCAGCCCCTGAATCTTGTTATTGTTTTCATTTCCATGTCCTCCACCGTTTCACCAATCAGAAAGTCTGTGATCCGGGCGCCAGAACTTACCGCGTGGAGCCAATCTCACTGGTAAAGTACCATGTGGCGCAGAACTAAAAAAGGTCTTGTTATGATTCTCGAATCATTAACGACAAAACAAGGAATAAAAGCAGGATTTCTATCTTTGTGAAAAAGGTGTTGGTTATAGATTTGTTGTTGACAAAACTCTTGTCTATTCAGCTGTTATGGTCCCAGCTGGATTCGTCTGCATATCTGGCAACCTGAGTCAGGGAGAGTGGGAGAGGCTGCAGTACCACTTTTGACCACATTTTTACACACTGCTCCTTTAAGCACATTTATAACATGGCTCCTGTGTGTGTGTGTCGTTGTTGTGTCGTTGTTGAGGCGTCCTGACCTGGTAGAGTGCGACGCAGGACAGAAACATCATCATGTAGATGATTTTGTACATGACGATGGTTCCCTCGAAGCTGACGAAGAAGAACATTCCACCACAGATGTAGATCCAGTACTTCACCAGGACGGCCATGATCAGGCTGCCCAGGACCTGCATGGTGTCTGTCTCTGCCCCCTCCTGTCCGCTCTCCTCCTCTGGAACAACACACAACATAACATTACACACAACACAACACTACACACACAACATAACACAACACTACACACACAACACAACACTACACTACACACACAACATAACATTACACACAACACAACACTACACACACAACACAACATTACACACACAACACAACATTACACTACACAACACAACATTACACACACAACACAACATTACACACAACACAACACTACACACACAACATAACATTACACACACAACACAACATTACACACACAACACTACACTACACACACAACATAACATTACACACAACACAACACTACACACACAACATAACATTACACACACAACACAACATTACACACAACACTACACTACACACACAACATAACATTACACTACACAACACACACAACACAACATTACACAGACAACACAACATTACACACACAACATAACAGTACACACACAACACAACATTACACACACAACACAACAGTACACACACAACACAACACTACACACACAACATAACAGTACACACACAACACAACAGTACACACACAACACAACATTACACACACAACACAACATTACACACACAACACAACACATTACACACACAACACAACATTACACACACAACACAACACTACACACACAACATAACATTACACACACAACACAACATTACACACACAACACAACATTACACACACAACATAACATTACACACACAACACAACATTACACACACAACACAACATTACACACACAACACAACATTACACACACAACACAACATTACACACACAACACAACATTACACACACAACACAACACTACACACACAACATAACATTACACACACAACACAACAGTACACACACAACACAACATTACACACACAACACAACACAACATTACACACACAACACAACATTACACACACAACACAACACTACACACACAACACAACATTACACACACAACACAACATTACACACACAACACAACATTACACACACAACACAACATTACACACACAACACAACATTACACACACAACACAACATTACACACACAACACAACATTACACACACACAACACACAAAACATTACACACACAACACAACATTACACACACACACAACAACACTACACACACAACATAACATTACACACACAACACAACATTACACACACAACACAACATTACACACACAACACAACAATACACACACAACACAACATTACACACACAACACAACATTACACACACAACACAACACTACACACACAACACAACATTACACACACAACACAACATTACACACACAACACAACATTACACACACAACACAACATTACACACACAACACAACATTACACACATGCAACACACACAACACAACATTACACACACAACACTACACACAGCACAACACTACACACACACCACAACATTACACACACAACACAACACTACACACACAACACAACACACACAACACAACATTACACACACAACACAACAGTACACACACAACACAACACTACACACACAATGCAACATTACACACAAAACACAACACTACACACACAACACAACATTACACACACAACACAACACTACACACACAACGCAACATTACACACACAACACAACATTACACACAAAACACAACATTACACACAAAACACAACATTACACACACAACACAACATTACACACAAAACACAACATTACACACAGCACAACACTACACCCACACCACAACATTACACACACAACACAACACTACACACACAACACAACATTACACACACAACACAACATTACACACACAACACAACACTACACACACAACGCAACATTACACACAAAACACAACACTACACACACAACACAACATTACACACACAACACAACATTACAAACACAACACAACACACACAACACAACATTACACACACAGCTCTGGTTCAGATCTGAAGTCACTCGCATCATTTCACAAGAGTAGAAATATCAGTAAAATATCAAACTACTAAACTTTGTACACTCACAATGGTGTGTGTAGAGAGAGAGACCAGACAGAGACCAGAGAGAGACCAGAGAGAGACCAGAGAGAGACCAGAGAGAGACCAGAGAGAGACCAGAGAGAGACCAGAGAGAGACCAGAGAGAGACCAGAGAGAGAGACCAGAGAGAGACCAGAGAGAGACCAGAGAGAGACCAGAGAGAGACCAGAGAGAGACCAGAGAGAGACCAGAGAGAGAGACCAGAGAGAGACCAGAGAGAGAGACCAGAGAGAGACCAGAGAGAGACCAGAGAGAGAGACCAGAGAGAGAGACCAGAGAGAGACCAGAGAGAGACCAGAGAGAGACCAGAGAGAGACCAGAGAGACCAGAGAGAGACCAGAGAGACCAGAGAGAGAGACCAGAGAGAGACCAGAGAGAGACCAGAGAGAGACCAGAGAGAGAGACCAGAGAGAGACCAGAGAGAGACCAGAGAGAGACCAGAGAGAGACCAGAGAGAGACCAAAGAAAGACCAGAGAAAGACCAGAGAGAGACCAGGGAGAGACCAGAAAAAGACCAGAAATAGACCAGAGAGAGAGACCAGGAGGAGATCAGAGAGAGACCTGAGAGACCAGAGAGAGACCAAGAAGAGACCAGAAAAAGACCAGAGAGAGACGGGAGAGAGAGATCAGAGAGAGAGACCAGAGAGAGACCAGAGAGAGACCAGAGAGAGAGACCAGAGAGAGACCAGAGAGAGACCAGAGAGAGACCAGAGAGAGACCAGAGAGAGACCAGAGAGAGACCAAAGAAAGACCAGAGAAAGACCAGAGAGAGACCAGGGAGAGACCAGAAAAAGACCAGAAATAGACCAGAGAGAGAGACCAGGAGGAGATCAGAGAGAGACCTGAGAGACCAGAGAGAGACCAAGAAGAGACCAGAAAAAGACCAGAGAGAGACGGGAGAGAGAGATCAGAGAGAGACCAGAGAGAGACCAGAGAGAGACCAGAGAGAGACCAGAGAGAGACTAGAGAGAGACCAGAGAGAGACCAGAGAGAGAGACCAGGAGGAGATCAGAGAGAGACCAGAGAGACCAGAGAGAGACCAGGAAGAGACCAGAAAAAGACCAGAGAGAGAGACCAGAGAGAGATCAGAGAGAGACCAGAGAGAGACCAGAGAGAGACCAGAGAGAGACCAGAGAGAGAGACCAGAGAGAGACCGTAGTGAGTTGCTACACTCTGAAAGAGGAATCTTAAATCCAGCTCTTACAATAATCACTGACTTTTCTGGCCCCTGAAAAGCCATGTTCCAGCTTCTTCCCTCTGGCAGAACAGCTTCTTTCAGCTGTTTTCAGTTTGAACAAAGCACTTCATTGATCTCGTACTTGTATTGACGCTGTTTTTGTTGTTAGTTTCACAGTGACAATAGTTTCTCTTCTTTTCTTAAATCTTGTTTTACTTATGTACTTGTCTGGTGCAAACTGGGGACTCTTGCGCATGTATTCCAAGGTGGTTTTACTGCAGATGTTAAATAATCTGAATCCGTTGTGACGTGATGGCTGTATACAGAGTTTGCGGCGGTACCTTTCTTCTTGTGGTCGTCCACCTGCACCTGGGACAGTCCCGCTCTCTCCTGCTCTGCTTTCTCCTCTCGCTCTGTCAGAGTCTGTCTGAGCAGCAGCCAGAAGGTCAGCAGACACATGACCTGCAGCAACACACACAGGACGCACACAGACACACACACAGGACGCACACACAGACACACATACACAGAGAAACACACACAGAGGACACACACAGAGGACACACACAGAGACAGGCACACAGAGATCACACACAGATACACACACAGAGACACACACACACAGAAGACACACACAAACACACAAAGAGACACACAGAGGACACACAGACACACACACACGCACACACACACACAAGAGTGAACTAGGGAGGTCAAGAACCATGCTTACACCAGCTCTACTCTACTCTACAGGTGTGTGTGTGTGTAAGTGCATGCAAGTGTGTGCATATGTGTGTTGTGTGTACATATTTGTGTGGGTGTGTGTATATACAGTATAAAGAGTGTTTATGTATGTGCATCTGTGTGGTGCATACGTGTGTGCGTAAATGTGTGTGTGTCTATGTGTGTGTTTATATGAAGTGTATACATGTGTGTGCGTATATGTGTGCGTGTGTATATGAAGTGTATACATGTGTGTGCGTATATGTGTGTGTCTGTGTGTATATGAAGTGTATAGGTGTGTGTATAAATGTGTGTGTCTGTGTGTATTTGTGGTTCGTCATACCACACTTATACTAAATAAATGAATGAATAAATATGAATAACATATAAATGGACAAAGTAGCGTAGCCGCAGCTGCCCCGGACCTTGGAGGAGAGTGAGTGGAAGGGGTTGTTCTTCTTCACAAACAGCCCCGAGATCTCCTCCATGTCCTCGAAGCTCCAGATGTACTGCAGCACGATCACCAGGTCGCCGTAGGCAACCATGAATGGGGACGACAGCATGGCGTAGCGCCGCCTGTCGCGCACCATCCACAGCATACAGGACCACATGAGGAAGACGAAGGTGAGCCAGCTGACGTACGTGATGCTCCAGGCCTGAGGGAAGAGGAGGAGAGGGAGGAGGGAGAGGAGGGGAGAGGGGGGGGGAGGAGGGAGGAGGGGGAGGAGGAGGAAGAGGGGGGGGAGGAGGAGGACAGGGAGGAGGGAGAGGAGGGAGAGGGGGGGAGCACGGAGGAGGAAGATGGGAGGAGAGGGAGGAGGGAGAGGAGGGAGAGGGGGGGAGCACGGAGGAGGAAGATGGGAGGAGAGGGAGGAGGGAGAGGAGGGGAAGAGGGGGGGAGAGGAGGAGGGGAGGAGGAAGAGGGGGGAGGAGAGGGGGGGTAGAGGAGGGGGGAGGAAGAGGAGGAGGAGGGGGAAGAGGGGTGAGGGAGATGAGGGGGAGGAGGGGGAGGAGGGGGGGAGGAGAGGGAGAAGGGAGAGGAGGGGGAGAGGGAGGAGGGAGGCGGAAGAAGTGGAGGAGAGGGGGGGTAGTAGAGGAGGGGGGAGGAAGAGGGGGGAAGAAGGGGAGGAAGAGCAGGAGGAGGAAGAGGATGATGAAGAGGAGTAGGAAAAGAAGGAAAGGGGAGAGGACAGGACTTTTTAGAACAGAACACTCTTGCTTCAGCCTCAGTCCTGGGTCTACAGCCTCAGTCTTGGGTCTACAGCCTCAGTCCTGGGTCTACAGCCTCAGTCCTGGATCTACAGCCTCAGTCCTGGGTCTACAGCCTCAGTCTTGGGTCTACAGCCTCAGTCCTGGATCTACAGCCTCAGTCCTGGATCTACAGCCTCAGTCCTGGGTCTACAGCCTCAGTCTTGGGTCTACAGCCTCAGTCTTGGGTCTACAGCCTCAGTCCTGGGTCTACAGCCTCAGTCCTGGGTCTACAGCCTCAGTCCTGGGTCTACAGCCTCAGTCCTGGGTCTACAGTCTCAGTCCTGGGTCTACAGCCTCAGTCCTGGATCTACAGCCTCAGTCTTGGGTCTACAGCCTCAGTCCTGGGTCTACAGCCTCAGTCCTGGGTCTACAGCCTCAGTCCTGGGTCTACAGTCTCAGTCCTGGGTCTACAGCCTCAGTCCTGGGTCTACAGCCTCAGTCCTGGGTCTACAGCCTCAGTCCTGGGTCTACAGTCTCAGTCCTGGGTCTACAGCCTCAGTCCTGGGTCTACAGCCTCAGTCCTGGGTCTACAGCCTCAGTCCTGGGTCTACAGCCTCAGTCCTGGGTCTACAGCCTCAGTCCTGGGTCTACAGCCTCAGTCCTGGGTCTACAGCCTCAGTCCTGGGTCTACAGCCTCAGTCCTGGGTCTACAGCCTCAGTCTCACCATCATGGCGATCAGGGCACAGATGTAGCTCTGTTTCATGATGAACTGGAAGACTTTGACCATGGCGCTGAGACGAGCCTGCACCGTGCTGTTCTCCTCCTGCTCCTCCTGCTCCTCCTGCTCCTCCTGCTCCTCCTGCTCCTCCTCTTCCTCCTGTCGCTCTGATCCCGAGTCCTCAGCAGGAAGTGTCACCTCCAACACACACTCCTTCTGATCTGCAGGAGGAGACACCAGTGACGGAACCATCAACACACACTCCTTCTGATCTGCAGGAGGAGACACCAGTGACGGAACCATCAACACACACTCCTTCTGATCTGCAGGAGGAGACACCAGTGACGGAACCATCAACACACACTCCTTCTGATCTGCAGGAGGAGACACCAGTGACGGAACCATCAACACACACTCCTTCTGATCTGCAGGAGGAGACACCAGTGACGGAACCATCAACACACACTCCTTCTGATCTGCAGGAGGAGAAACCAGTGACGGAACCATCAACACACACTCCTTCTGATCTGCAGACACCAGGACTATGTCAGAGCTGGACCTCACTCTCAGACTCAGAGAAAGGAGGAAGTATGACTGTAAATGAGTGTTTTTTAAGTTAATTCTTTGTTTGAACAAGTTTCTCCAACGAGACAAAGAGATTAAGAATTATATCAAGAACTGTTACATTTTTTCTCATTCCAGGGTACATTTGTTAAATCTCTCTCTGGTCTCTCTCTCTGTTCTCCCTCACTGGTCTCTCTCAGGTCTCTCTCTGGTCTCTCTCTGGTCTCTCTCTGGTCTCTCTCTCTGTTCTCCCTCACTGGTCTCTCTCTGGTCTCTCTCTGGTCTCTCTCTGGTCTCTCTCTGGTCTCTCTGGTCTCTCTCTCTGGTCTCTCTCACTGGTTTCTCTCTGGTTTCTCTCTGGTTTCTCTTGCGGTCGCTCTCTCTGGTCTCCGTCACTGGTCTCTCTCTCTGGTCTTTCTCTCTAGTCTCTCTCTGGTCTACCTCTCTGGTCTCTCTCTGGTCTCTCTCTCTGGTCTCTCTCTGGTCTACCTCTCTGGTCTCCCCTCTCTGGTCTCCCCTCTCTGGTCTCTCTCTGGTCTCTCTCTGGTCTCTCTCTGGTCTCTCTCTGGTCTCTCTCTGGTCTACCTCTCTGGTCTCTCTCTGGTCTATCTCTGGTCTATCTCTGGTCTATCTCTGGTCTATCTCTGGTCTCTCTCTGGTCTATCTCTGGTCTCTCTCTGGTCTCTCTCTGGTCTATCTCTGGTCTTTCTCTGGTCTCTCTCTGGTCTCTCTCTGGTCTATCTCTGGTCTTTCTCTGGTCTCTCTCTGGTCTATCTCTGGTCTATCTCTGGTCTATCTCTGGTCTATCTCTGGTCTCTCTCTGGTCTATCTCTGGTCTCTCTCTGGTCTCTCTCTGGTCTATCTCTGGTCTTTCTCTGGTCTCTCTCTGTTCTTTCTCTTGGGTCTCTCCCTTTGGTCTCTTTCTCTGGTGTCACTTTTTACGTTTTTTTTTTTTTAGAACACATCACCCCTGTCATAAACCAGGGACCACTGTTAAAACCAAACATATATTTAGATCATTCTGTGTGCGTCGTTAAGATTAAACAACCGTACCTTCATCAGTTTTGGGCTCTGGTTTGTACTGAGGCGTGGAGAACAGGTCCAGACAGACCGGGCCGTTGTCCGTGGTTACGAACTCAAAAGAAGTTCCATTAGAGGTGGGGACAACCTGAAAGAGAACAGGCAGGTTTGAGACGTGCAATTGAAGTATACAAGTCCTGGGTCTACAGCCTCAGTTCTGGGTCTATAGCCTCAGTCCTGGGTCTATAGCCTCAGTCCTGGGTCTATAGCCTCAGTCCTGGGTCTACAGCCTCAGTCCTGGGTCTACAGCCTCAGTCCTGGATCTACAACCTCAGTCCTGGGTCTATAGCCTCAGTCCTGGGTCTATAGCCTCAGTCCTGGGTCTATAGCCTCAGTCCTGGGTCTATAGCCTCAGTCCTGGGTCTATAGCCTCAGTCCTGGGTCTATAGCCTCAGTCCTGGGTCTATAGCCTCAGTCCTGGGTCTACAGCCTCAGTCCTGGGTCTACAGCCTCAGTCCTGGGTCTACAGCCTCAGTCCTGGGTCTACAGCCTCAGTCCTGGGTCTACAGCCTCAGTCCTGGGTCTAGCCGCGCTCAATAAACAAATACCAATCCATCAACACCATTAAATGTTAATCGGACAGTACAGTATTATGTATACTGTATTGTATACATCCTTAACACACATGCACGGAGGTTTTCAGAATTTGTTGTTAACGTTTTCATGACAAAAATTACTATTTTAATGTGACAAAAAGCGATCGCTATAAACCCAGAAGTAACCATTAACATGAAAGAACATTTTAGGACTCATTTGAAGAGGATATAATATATTATGATATAAATGAGTAACTCACCTCACGCTGATCAGAATTATTTGTTCAGTTTTCATGTAGTTCTAGAGTTTTTGAGCTAGCTAGCTTAGCTGTTACCCACCTAGCCACGTCACGGTGAGACCTTTGGGAGCACTATTTTATTTGCTGTCATTAAATACATATCGAATTATAAGGGCTGTCTAATATTTGTTTGAATATTTTTATTTTTTTTATTTTAGAATTATATTTAAATTTCTAAGTCAAAGCGCTGGTGTTGAGCAGCGCTGTAGAGGCTGGAGGACGCAGGCTGTTCTGTGAGTGGAGGAGTCGAAGTCTCCACTCAGCACTTTTCTCGGCCTGTATTCTTACACCGCTGAATCAATGAGCTCAAGTTTTCTATTAAATTACGGATTATAATACAATTTGTATGTAGTAATAAACATTTTTATGAACTCAGTAGAAAATAAATTGGGTATAGCTTCTTTAAAGATGCTTTGAGAACACAACAAAGTCTTGGATTTGCCACAACTAAACAACCACACAACTACAGCCCATACAAGTCTCACTGGTCACTTTATCTGCTGCTAATGTCACTGATATATTCATATTCTCCACTGCTTAAGAACAATGTACACATCTGTAAATACTTCTGAACCAAGTGACAGTATAGCTCCAGAGTTTATTCTATTTTATCACACGCTCCTCACAGCAGCAGTAGAACGCTCCATTGATTTGAATGTTTTTAAAAACTTTCTACCGGTCACTATTTTCTATAACGGACCTCTCAAAACAATAATGACCGCTGCCCTTTGGCAACGCACTCTCTACTTGTCTTTCAAATGCGTGGATAACTCCGCAAGTAGTTCCGGCCACTCCGGAGCTAGCCACGCTCAATCAACACACTTAAATGTTAATGACACTGACATCTCCCCACAGTGGGACAAATAAAGGAACTTATCTTACAACCACACACACACACACAGACAACCACACATACAACCACACACACACACACACAGACAACCACACAGAACTACACACACACACAACTACACAGACAACCACACAGAACTACACACACACACAACTACACAGACACAGAACTACACAGACAACCACACAGAACTACACACACACACAACTACACAGACAACCACACAGAACTACACACACACACAACTACACAGACAACCACACAGAACTACACAACCACACACACAACTACACAGACAACCACACAGAACTACACACACACACAACTACACAGACAACCACACAGCACTACACAACCACACACACAGAACTACACACACACACAACTACACAGACAACCACACAGAACTACACAACCACACACACAACTACACAGACAACCACACAGAACTACACAAACACACACACAACTACACAGACAACCACACAGAACTACACAACCACACAGAACAACACACACACACAACTACACAGACAACCACACAGAACTACACACACACACAACTACACAGACAACCACACAGAACTACACAACCACACACACAACTACACAGACAACCACACAGAACTACACACACACACAACTACACAGACAACCACACAGAACTACACAACCACACACACAACTACACAGACAACCACACAGAACTACACAAACACACACACAACTACACAGACAACCACACAGAACTACACAACCACACAGAACTACACACACACACAACTACACAGACAACCACACAGAACTACACACACACACAACTACACAGACACAGAACTACACACACACAGTACTACACACACACACAGACAGAGTTCATGCAGAGAGTCAGAGGCACCTCGTGAGAACTGATGCAGTCCTGAGTCGAGAGGAGCTGAGGAGAGAGAGAGGTGAGGGTTAGTGCAAAGTCACAGAGAGGAGGTGAAGACAGAGAGGAGGTGAAGACAGAGAGGAGGTGACAGAGAGGAGGTGAAGACAGAGAGGAGGTGACAGAGAGGAGGTGAAGACAGAGAGGAGGTGACCGAGAGGAGGTGACAGAGAGGAGGTGACAGAGAGGAGGTGAAGACAGAGAGGAGGTGACAGAGAGGAGGTGAAGACAGAGAGGAGGTGAAGACAGAGAGCACAGGGTTAGTGCAAAGTCACACACAGAGAGGAGGTGACAGAGAGGAGGGGAAGACAGAGAGGACGGGAAGACAGTGAGGATGTGAAGACAGAGAGGAGGTGACAGAGAGGAGGTGAAGACAGAGAGGAGGTGAAGACAGAGAGCACAGGGTTAGTGCAAAGTCACACACAGAGAGGAGGTGACAGAGAGGAGGGGAAGACAGTGAGGAGGTGACAGAGAGGAGGGGAAGACAGAGAGGATGTGAAGACAGAGAGGAGGTGAAGACAGAGAGGAGGTGACAGAGAGGAGGGGAAGACAGAGAGGAGGTGACAGAGAGGACGGGAAGACATTGAGGATGTGAAGACAGAGAGGAGGTGAAGCCAGAGAGGAGGTGACCGAGAGGAGGTGCCCGAGAGGAGGTGACAGAGAGGAGGTGAAGACAGAGAGGAGGGAAAGACAGTGAGGAGGTGAAGACAGAGAGGAGGTGAAGACAGAGAGGAGGTGACAGAGAGGACGGGAAGACAGTGAGGATGTGAAGACAGAGAGGAGGTGACCGAGAGGAGGTGAAGACAAAGAGGAGGGGAAGACAGTGAGGAGGTGAAGACAGAGAGGAGGTGATGACAGAGAGGAGGTGAAGACAGAGGAGGTGATGACAGAGAGGAGGTGAAGACAGAGAGGAGGTGAAGACAGAGAGGAGGTGATGACAGAGAGGAGGTGAAGACAGAGAGGAGGTGAAGACAGAGGAGGTGAAGACAGAGAGGAGGTGAAGACAGAGAGGAGGTGATGACAGAGAGGAGGTGAAGACAGAGAGGAGGTGAAGACAGAGAGGAGGTGAAGACAGAGAGGAGGTGATGACAGATAGGAGGTGATGACAGAGAGGAGGTGAAGACAGAGAGGAGGTGGCAGAGAGGAGGTGATGACAGATAGGAGGGGAAGACAGAGAGGAGGTGAAGACAGAGAGGAGGTGAATACAGAGAGGAGGTGATGACAGAGAGGAGGTGAAGACAGAGAGGAGGTGATGACAGAGAGGAGGTGAAGACAGAGAGGAGGTGACAGAGAGGAGGTGATGGAAGTTAGGAGGTGATGACAGAGAGGAGGTGACAGAGAGGAGGTGATGACAGAGAGGAGGTGATGACAGATATGAGGTGATGACAGGGAGGAGGTGACAGAGAGGAGGTGATGACAGATAGGAGGTGATGACAGAGAGGAGGTGACAGAGAGGAGGTGATGACAGATAGGAGGTGATGACAGAGAGGAGGTGATGACAGATAGGAGGTGATGACAGAGAGGAGGTGATGACAGAGAGGAGGTGAAGGCAGAGAGGAGGTGATGACAGAGAGGAGGTGAAGGCAGAGAGGAGGTGAAGACAGAGAGGAGGTGAAGGCAGAGAGGAGGTGAAGACAGAGAGGAGGTGACAGAGAGGAGGTCTGTGTCACAAACAAGGACAGCGAACGACCAGGTTTTCTGTTCAATGTTTTTTAACCAACCCTACTTGGTTCTGCTCTACTCTACTCTACTCTACTCTACTCTACTCTTCTCTACTCTTCCCTACTCTACTCGACCCTACCCTACTCTACTCTACTCTACTGTACTCTACTCTACTCTACTCTTCCCTACTCTACTCTACTCTTCCCTACTCTACCCTACCCTACCCTACCCTACTCTACTCTACTCCTCCCTACTCTACTCTACTCTTCCCTACTCTACTCTACTCTACTCTACCCTACTCTATTCTACTGTACTGTACTCTACTCTACTCTACTCTACCCTACCCTACCCTACCCTACTCTACCCTACTCTACCCTACTCTATTCTACTGTACTCTACTCTACCCTACCCTACTCTACCCTACCCTACCCTACCCTACTCTACTCTACTCTTCCCTACTCTACTCTACTCTTCCCTACTCTACTCTACTCTTCCCTACTCTACTCTACTCTACTCTACCCTACACTACTCTACTCTACCCTACCCTACCCTACTCTACTCTAGCCTACTCTACTCTACCCTACCCTACTCTACCCTACTCTACTCTACCCTACTCTACTCTACTCTTCTCTACTCTTCCCTACTCTACTCTACCCTACCCTACTCTACTCTACTGTACTCTACTCTTCCCTACGCTACTCTACGCTTCCCTACTCTACCCTACCCTACTCTACTCTACTCTACTCCTCCCTACTCTACTCTTCCCTACTCTACTCTACTCTACTCTACTCTACCCTACTCTATTCTACTGTACTGTACTCTACTCTACTCTACCCTACCCTACTCTACTCTTCCCTACTCTATTCTACTGTACTCTACTCTACCCTACCCTACCCTACCCTACTCTACCCTACCCTACTCTACTCTTCCCTACTCTACTCTACTCTTCCCTACTCTACTCTATACTCTACTCTACCCTACACTACTCTAGCCTACTCTACTCTACCCTACACTACTCTACTCTACCCTACCCTACTCTACTCTAGCCTACTCTACTCTACCCTACCCTACTCTACCCTACTCTACCCTACTCTACTCTACCCTACCCTACTCTACCCTACTCTACTCTACCCTACTCTACTCTACCTGAATCCTTGAATGTCACAGAACCTGCATGAACTGCCTTGAGTTTCATTATTGAATGAAAAGAAGGATTTATGTTTAATGTCTTATTTTACATGGAAATTATTATTTTTATCTTTTTCAACACGATACAAAAAAATGTGTCAGAAGCACTTTGTTCCTTCTTGACCTGACGACATCTTTGAGTTTCAATCAAAAAAATACTTTGTCATATTTGTTTTAGCAGTAGTTTTAGAGTTTCATTCAGGACATGTATTCTCTGCTCCGTGTTGCCAGGTCCTGAGAACATACAACTTTTGATCTCACAACGGACCAATGTGCATGTGATATTTGGTGTCAGTAGGACCAGGGTGTGGCAGGAAATGTGCAGACACTTAAAACCCGTGTACTGTCCTTGAGTCAAATTCACCCACAGTCATCACAAAAATGCACTAAATACATTTGTTTTTCGAGAAGAATTTAGATTATTTCTCATAACTCGACTAGTTACACTTTTTTATCCAAATGTAGGTGTGTTTTTTCTACTTTTAAATCACTGTGGTGGTCGTTTTGGCCTGAGGATAAAGTCAAGATAATGTGGAATAGAGGTAAAACAAATATTTCTTTTGTATATTTTCAAAAAGTGAGAGTTATTGGACAAAAAAGCCGCAGATTCTCCACTTGTGTTTTGTGTGATTACTTCTCAGACCTCTCTCTTATCTCGTCACATGACCACATTACCCCACGTTACTCCCTCACCCCTCCCTCCCCCTCCCTCACCCTCCCTCCCCCTCCCTCCCCCTCCCTCACCCCCTGCTCCTCACATTCTTCTCGTCGGTGCCCTGTTGGGACCTCCACCACAGCTGCCGTTTCCGCTCCGCTGAGTTATTTGTTCCGTTTCCCAGTGTCTCCTCCTCTTCGCCCTCGGCCTCCTCCTTCTCCTCCTGCAACAACAGACAGAGGTGATAGTAGTAGACCAGGGACCATGGGGACCACGGGGACCAGGGAGCAGGGAGCAGAGACCAGGGAGCAGAGACCAGGGAGCAGAGACCAGGGACCAGAGAGACCCAGGGACCATGGGGACCAGAGACCAGGGAGCAAGGAGCAGAGACCAGGGAGCAGAGAGACCCAGGGACCATGGAGACCAGAGACCAGGGAGCAGAGAGACCCAGGGACCATGGAGACCAGAGACCAGGGAGCAGAGAGACCAGGGACCATGGGGACCAGACACCAGAGAGACCCAGAGACCATGGGGAACAGAGACCAGGGACCGGAGAGACCCAGGGACCATGGGGACCAGAGACCAGGGACCAGAGAGACCCAGGGACCATGGGGAACAGAGACCAGGGACCAGAGAGACCCAGGGACCATGGGGACCAGAGACCAGAGACCAGGGAGCAGAGACCAGGGACCAGAAACCAGAGACCATGGGGACCAGAGACCATGGGGACCAGGGAGCAGAGACCAGAGACCAGAGACCAGAGACCATGGGGACCAGAGACCAGAGACCAGAGACCAGAGACCAGGGAGCAGGGAGCAGAGACCAGAGACCAGAGACCAGACCAGGGTGGGACTCCAGTGTTTGGAGATGAAAGCAAAGGTCATGAACAGATAGTTGCAGCACTATCAGGGAACAACAGAGACTCTGGTCTGAGACAAAGTCCTGTTTCCACCAAAGTTAAATCAAAAACAGTTAAATATGGACCGTGAAATGTCAGGTCAGAGAGAAACGTCTGTGGTGTGTGTATTTATATTATGTATATTATATTTTATTTTATATAATTATACTTCTATTTTTTTCATAATAAATGTATTTTGTGTTAATGTCACATGCTCTCTCTCCTCTTGGGGATGTCGTGGGAGGGACTGAGGGTAAAATGTATTCTTAAAATGCAATAAAAATATAATAATAAAAAAATATACATAATACTGTAAAACCTTTTATCTACACTTAAAGGTAATGACTAAAAATCCCGAGATACAGGTTTGAGACGCCTGATCTACTGTCATTATGTTTTAGGGTTCACTTATTTATCAACACGTCCTCTCTCTGGAGAACCATCGACCCGTCTATAAACCCCAGATCTATAGACGTGCAACACAGGGGTGACAAAATCGTACGGAAAAAACACAAAAAAATTCAATTACAGCGAACAGAAGCGGCAGTGACTCCATGGCCTGGTCGTGAAGCGAAGGAGTCATGTGACCGCAGCAGACATCATGATTGCGACGATAAACATTGATTTGTTCAGCTAATCGTCTGCGCTGGAATATCCCTGACGGCCACGGACTGTATTTCCCATTTTATATTGAAGCAAAGGGCTGGACAGAGAAATCAGTCTCCTCTGCATCTGTCAGTCTTTCAACACATGCATTTTCTCTGTATATAAAGGGGCCATGCTAACCCGCTAGCACCATGAAAGAATGTGTTTCACTCCGGCTCCTATTGAAAAGTCATCTCCTCTAATGCTAACGACAAGTCATGACAAGATTTTTCGCGAACACAAACAGAAAACCCTGGATATTATGGCTCCTTGTTTCGCTTTCTCTTCTTATAAATGTTCGTGGGCAAATTTTTAGTAAAAGAGCCACTTCAGACTTGACCTGAGGCCGACAATCTGGATTAAAAAAACTGTATTCGAGCTGGATTGACTGGATTCTGGAATTTAGAATAGGTTCTGATACGTTGTAATGGATCCACGCCACAGCTGCATTTTAGTTGGAATGTTGTGACACAATCATAAACAAATAACAATTGAGTCAACAGCTGGATTCCAGAGAGTCTGAGATTTACAACAAGGTAGCGCATGACGGTATTGGTGGAGCTGAAGTTGGTTGGATGACACTGTCAAAGTGCCTCAATGGCGACTTCGTGTTAGCAGCAGAGGGCAACATAAAAAAAGGGCCGCAATTGGCCCACGGGCCTGAGTTTGGACATGCTTGTTCTTGGGTCTCTCCAGAGAGTGAATTGGAGTCTGTTTGTGGAGGGTTCAGTACGAGGCGTAGGTTTGCGTGGGAACCGTGTGGACAAGTCCCCACCAGTGTTGGGTAGAACTAAAATGTGATATAATATAATGTCCCGGACCAAATCCACCATGTTTTTCCCGCTTCTACGTGCACGTGTTGGCTTCTAAAAAGCTGTCAGCGGACATGTCTCAGTCCTGGGTCTACAGCCTCAGTCCTGGGTCTACAGCCTCAGTCCTGGGTCTACAGCCTCAGTCTTGGGTCTACAGCCTCAGTCCTGGATCTACAGCCTCAGTCCTGGGTCTACAGCCTCAGTCCTGGATCTACAGCCTCAGTCCTGGATCTACAGCCTCAGTCCTGGATCTAAAGCCTCAGTCCTGGATCTACAGCCTCAGTCCTGGATCTACAGCCTCAGTCCTGGGTCTACAGCCTGAGTCCTGGATCTACAGCCTCAGTCCTAGTCAGAGTGTAACCACGGTCATCAAGGAATTTCTATGGGTACTGTTGCCAAGATATGAGTAGAGTAGAGTAGATGAGAGTAGAGTATAGTAGAGTAGAGTAGATGAGAGTAGAGTAGAGTAGAGTAGAGTAGATGAGAGTAGATGAGAGTAGAGTAGAGTAGAGTAGATGAGAGTAGAGTAGAGTAGAGTAGAGTAGATGAGAGTAGAGTAGAGTAGAGTAGAGTAGAGTAGATGAGAGTAGATGAGAGTAGAGTAGAGTAGAGTAGAGTAGATGAGAGTAGAGTAGAGTAGAGTAGAGTAGATGAGAGTAGAGTAGAGTAGAGTAGATGAGAGTAGAGTAGAGTAGAGTAGATGAGAGTAGATTAGAGTAGAGTAGAGTAGAGTAGATGAGAGTAGATGAGAGTAGAGTAGAGTAGAGTAGAGTAGATGAGAGTAGATGAGAGTAGAGTAGAGTAGATGAGAGTAGAGTAGAGTAGATGAGAGTAGAGTAGAGTAGAGTAGATGAGAGTAGAGTAGAGTAGATGAGAGTAGAGTAGAGTGAGAGTAGAGTAGAGTAGAGTAGAGTAGAGTAGATGAGAGTAGAGTAGAGTAGAGTAGATGAGAGTAGAGTAGAGTAGAGTAGAGTAGAGTAGAGTAGAGTAGAGAGTAGAGTAGAGTAGAGTAGAGTAGAGTAGATGAGAGTAGAGTAGAGTAGAGTAGATGAGAGTAGAGTAGAGTAGAGTAGAGTAGATGAGAGTAGATTAGAGTAGAGTAGAGTAGAGTAGAGTAGATGAGAGTAGAGTAGAGTAGAGTAGAGTAGATGAGAGTAGATGAGAGTAGAGTTAGAGTAGATGAGAGTAGATGAGAGTAGAGTAGAGTAGATGAGAGTAGAGTAGAGTAGAGTAGAGAGTAGAGTAGAGTAGAGTAGAGTAGAGTAGAGTAGAGTAGATGAGAGTAGAGTAGAGTAGAGTAGATGAGAGTAGAGTAGAGTGGAGTAGATGAGAGTAGAGTAGAGTAGAGTAGATGAGAGTAGAGTAGAGTAGAGTAGAGTAGAGTAGAGTAGAGTAGAGTAGATGAGAGTAGAGTAGAGTAGAGTAGAGTAGATGAGAGTAGAGTAGAGTAGAGTAGAGTAGATGAGAGTAGAGTAGAGTAGATGAGAGTAGAGTAGAGTGGAGTAGATGAGAGTAGATGAGAGTAGAGTAGAGTGGAGTAGGGTAGAGTAGAGTAGAGCAGAGTAGAGCAGAGCAGAGTAGTATCAACCTTTTTAAAAACAGACCTTCCGCCTCACCTGGTGCTGGATGGGCTCCTGCAGCCACAGCCGGATCAGCGTGGCCAGGGTGTAGTACAGGACCAGGAGCATGATGGGATTGACGAAGTGGAACCATCGTCGGTCCGGGTGCAGCGAGAGTCTCCAGGTGCACGAGCAGTTACTGTGCACGATGGGAGAGATGCCGAACACCCTGCAACAACACAGTCACCTCACGTCACCACCTGCAGTAAAACCACACTGGAATACTTGTGCAAAAGTCCCCAGTGTGAAGCAGACAAGTTCAGAGAGGAAACCAGCTCAAAAAGTACAAGAATATCAGAGAAAAATGAGAATTCTCCTGCTTTATCTGTCATTTTGTACAATTTAAGCTGTCGTCTGTTCATTGCTATTCACCCGCTGTCCCATTGTCTGTTTGATGGTGTGATGGTGGGACCTTTGAATCTGGGCTCTTTCACCAGCACCTACACCAGTCTCAGTCCTGGGTCTACAGCCTCAGTCCTGGATATACAGCCTCAGTCCTGGGTCTACAGCCTCAGTCCTGGATCTACAGCCTCAGTCCTGGATCTACAGCTTCAGTCCTGGATCTACAGCTTCAGTCCTGGATCTACAGCCTCAGTCCTTGATCTACAGCTTCAGTCCTGGGTCTACAGCTTCAGTCCTGGATCTACAGCCTCAGTCCTGGATCTACAGCCTCAGTCCTGGATCTACAGCTTCAGTCCTGGGTCTACAGCCTCAGTCCTGGATCTACAGCCTCAGTCCTGGATCTACAGCCTCAGTCCTGGATCTACAGCCTCAGTCCTGGATCTACAGCCTCAGTCCTGGATCTACAGCCTCAGTCCTGGATCTATAGCCTCAGTCCTGGATCTACAACCTCAGTCCTGTTCTACAGCCTCAGTCCTGGATCTATTAGCCTCAGTCCTGGGATCTACAGCCTCAGTCCTGGATCTACAGCCTCAGTCCTGGATATACAGCCTCAGTCCTGGATCTACACCTCAGTCCTGGATCTACAGCCTCAGTCCTGGTTCTACAGCCTCAGTCCTGGATCTATAGCCTCAGTCCTCGTGCTACAGCCTCAGTCCTGGATCTACAGCCTCAGTCCTGGATCTACAGCCTCAGTCATGGATCTACAGCCTCAGTCCTGGATCTACAGCCTCAGTCCTGGATCTACAGCCTCAGTCCTGAGTCTACAGCCTCAGTCCTGGGTCTACAGCCTCAGTCCTGGATCTACAGCCTCAGTCCTGGATCTACAGCCTCAGTCCTGGATCTACAGCCTCAGTCCTGGGTCTACAGCCTCAGTCCTGGGTCTACAGCCTCAGTCCTGGATCTACAGCCTCAGTCCTGGGTCTACAGCCTCAGTCCTGGATCTACAGCCTCAGTCCTGGATCTCCAGCCTCAGTCCTGGATCTACAGCCTCAGTCCTGGGTCTACAGCCTCAGTCCTGGGTGTACAGCCTCAGTCCTGGATCTATAGCCTCAGTCCTCGTGCTACAGCCTCAGTCCTGGATCTACAGCCTCAGTCCTGGATCTACAGCTTCAGTCATGGATCTACAGCCTCAGTCCTGGATCTACAGCCTCAGTCCTGGATCTACAGCCTCAGTCCTGGATCTACAGCCTCAGTCCTGGGTCTACAGCCTCAGTCCTGGGTCTACAGCCTCAGTCCTGGGTCTACAGCCTCAGTCCTGGATCTATAGCCTCAGTCCTCGTGCTACAGCCTCAGTCCTGGATCTACAGCCTCAGTCCTGGATCTACAGCCTCAGTCCTGGATCTACAGCCTCAGTCCTGGGTCTACAGCCTCAGTCCTGGAACTACAGCCTCAGTCCTGGATCTACAGCCTCAGTCCTGGGTCTACAGCCTCAGTCCTGGGTCTAGAGCCTCAGTCCTGGATCTACAGCCTCAGTCCTGGGTCTACAGCCTCAGTCCTGGATCTACAGCCTCAGTCCTGGGTCTACAGCCTCAGTCCTGGGTCTACAGCCTCAGTCCTGGGTCTACAGCCTCAGTCCTGGATCTACAGCCTCAGTCCTGGATCTACAGCCTCAGTCCTGGAACTACAGCCTCAGTCCTGGATCTACAGCCTCAGTCCTGGGTCTACAGCCTCAGTCCTGGGTCTACAGCCTCAGTCCTGGATCTACAGCCTCAGTCCCACATGCAGACTAACACCAGAGGGTCAGAACAGTTTGACAGTAACGCCGACCAGTCCAGTTGTTTGCGTACGCTGTATTCTTCTGCTTTGTAAACACACTCTGAAGCTTCCGACAGAATCCTCCTCGTTCAGGGACATGTGTGGCTCTCTCTCTCTGCTCTCTCTCTCTCTCTGCTCTCTCTCTCTGCTCTCTCTCTCTCTGCTCTCTCTCTCTCTGCTCTCTCTCTCTGCTCTCTCTCTCTCTCTGCTCTCTCTCTCTGCTCTCTCTCTCTCTGCTCTCTCTCTCTCTGCTCTCTCTCTCTCTCTGCTCTCTCTCTCTGCTCTCTCTCTCTCTGCTCTCTCTCTATCTGCTCTCTCTCTCTCTCTGCTCTCTCTGCTCTCTCTGCTTCACTGACGACCTCTCGTTTCCTAAACACTGATACTTTTCCTCAAAGAACAATTGGACGAGTTTAAAGCGTTGCTCAGCTCCGCACACGACAGAGCGCCGCCGGTAAGAAGGTCACGTGACTCCAACGAATAATAAAGAAACAGGAAGTGGGCTGACGTCCTCGTCCACAACCAGAGGGATGCTGTCGTTTCCTGCACTGCAAAAAGGTTATCTGTCAACAAAGAACTCTACTCTACTCTACCCAACTCTACCCTACTCTACTCTACTCTGCTCTGCTCTGCTCTGCTCTACTCTACTCTACTCTACTCTACTCTACTCTACTCTACTCTACTCTACCCTACTCTACTCTACTCTACTTAGCTCTACTCTACTCTACTCTGCTCCGCTGTACTCTACTCTACTCTACTCTACTCTACCCTACTCTACTTAGCTCTACTCTACTCTACTCTACTCTACTCTACCCTACTCTACTCTACTTAGCTCTACTCTACTCTGCTCCGCTGTAATCTACTCTACTCTACTCTACTCTACTCTACTCCGCTGTAATCTACTCTACTCTACTCTACTTAGCTCTACGCCGCTCTACTCTACTCTACTCCGCTGTAATCTACTCTACTCCGCTCTACTCTACTCTACTCTACTCTACTCTACTCTACTCCGCTGTAATCTACTCTACTCTGCTCTACTCTACTGTAATTTACTCTACTCTACTCTACTTAGCTCTACTCTACTCTATTCTACTCTACTTAGCTCTACTCTACTCTCTAGACTCAAATGTATGGTCTATGGTCTATGGTCTGATCTATGGTCCGGTCTATGGTCCGGTCTATGGTCCGGTCTATGGTCCGGTCTATGGTCTGGTCTATGGTCCGGTCTATGGTCCGGTCCATGGTCTGGTCTATGCTCTGGCCCATGGTCCGGTCTATGGTCTGGCCTATGGTCCAGTCTATGATCCGGTCTATGGTCTGATCTATGGTCCGGTGTATGGTCCGGTCTATGGTCTGATCTATGGTCTGGTCCATGGTCCGGTCTATGGTCTGGCCTATAGTCCGGTCCATGGTCCGGTCTATGGTCCGGTCTATGGTCTGGCCTATTGTCCGGTCCATGGTCCGGTCCATGGTCCGGCCTATGGTCTGGCCTATGGTCCGGTCCATGGTCCGGTCTATGGTCCGGTCTATGGTCCGGTCCATGGTCCGGTCTATGGTCCGGTCCATGGTCCGGTCTATGGTCCGGTCTATGGTCTGGCCTATTGTCCGGTCCATGGTCCGGTCTATGGTCCGGTCTATGGTCTGGGCTATGGTCCGGTCCATGGTCCGGTCCATGGTCCGGTCTATGGTACGGTCTATGGTCCGGTCTATGGTCTGATCTATGGTCTGGTGCATGGTCCGGTCTATGGTCTGATCTATGGTCCGGTCCATGGTCCGGTCTATGGTCTGGCCTATGGTCTGGCCTATGGTCCGGTCCATGGTCCGGTCCATGGTCCGGCCTATGGTCCGGCCTATGGTCCGGTCCATGGTCCGGTCTATGGTCCGGCCCATGGTCCGGTCTATGGTCCGGTCCATGGTCCGGTCTATGGTCCGGTCCATGGTCCGGTCTATAGTCCGGTCTATGGTCTGGCCTATGGTCCGGTCCATGGTCTGGTGTATGGTCCGGTCTATGGTCTGGCCTATGGTCTGGTCTATGGTCCGGTCTATGGTCCGGTCCATGGTCCGGTCTATGGTCCGGTCCATGGTCCGGTCTATGGTCCGGTCTATGGTCTGGCCTATTGTCCGGTCCATGGTCCGGTCCATGGTCCGGTCTATGGTACGGTCTATGGTCCGGTCTATGGTCTGATCTATGGTCTGGTGTATGGTCCGGTCTATGGTCTGATCTATGGTCCGGTCCATGGTCCGGTCTATGGTCTGGCCTATGGTCTGGCCTATGGTCCGGTCCATGGTCCGGTCCATGGTCCGGCCTATGGTCCGGCCTATGGTCCGGTCCATGGTCCGGTCTATGGTCCGGCCCATGGTCCGGTCTATGGTCCGGTCCATGGTCCGGTCTATGGTCCGGTCCATGGTCCGGTCTATGGTCCGGTCTATGGTCTGGCCTATGGTCCGGTCCATGGTCTGGTGTATGGTCCGGTCTATGGTCTGGCCTATGGTCTGGTGTATGGTCCGGTCTATGGTCCGGTCTATGGTCTGGTCTATGGTCTGGTCTATGGTCCGGTCTATGGTCCGGTCTATGGTCCGGTCTATGGTCTGGCCTATGATCCGGTCTATGGTATGGTCTATGGTATGGTCTATGGTCCGGTCTATGGTCCGGTCTATGGTATGGTCTATGGTATGGTCTATGGTCCGGTCTATGGTCCGGTCTATGGTCCGGTCTATGGTCCGGTCTATGGTCCGGTCTATGGTATGGTCTATGGTATGGTCTATGGTCCGGTCTATGGTCCGGTCTATGGTCCGGTCTATGGTATGGTCTATGGTATGGTCTATGGTCCGGTCTATGGTCCGGTCTATGGTCCGGTCTATGGTCCGGGCTCAGGGCCACAGCGGCGGCGGTGACATGAATGAGGGAAGGTCCATTGTAAACGCAGACACAGGAAGTAAACAGCCTCAGCTTCAGGGTCCAGGGCAAACACACGGCAACGACATCACAGCTCAGAGGTCATGTGACTCCCTTTAAAGCTGGGGCACCTGAGTTTGAAACAACACTTATCTGTTCAATCCCTCGAACTTCCTCGATCCTCGATCTCAAAGCTGTTCAGTTGCTGTAAACTATCTGTGAAATACTGGTGTTTTTAGTCTCTGTCACGTCTGTAGATCAGATTATTCAGAAAGACAAGAGAAGCCGATCAGCCAATCAGCTCTCAGTAAGAAATAACATGTTTTCTCATTGGCTGAGGACAAAAGACAAGACTCTTTCTTGTTTGTTCATGTTGTATTCAGCAAGAAGGTTCTGGGTTCGAATCCCGGTCGGAACAGGGCCTTTCTGTGTCGAGTTTGTATGTTCTCCCCATGTCTGCAGGTTTCCTCCGGGTACTCCGGTTTCCCCTACCACTAAAAACATGTGCAATAGTTCCGGGTGAATGAGTGTGTGTTTGTGAGTGTGAATACGAGACAACGGATGGAAATGAGCCCAAGGTACAATCCGGAGTGATGTGTTCATGAACATGTACTGCCCCAACCAAATAAAAAATAAATATATAAATATAAATGTATATAAGATGTAATAATACACACATATATCATGTGTATAGCTGTATGTAGCAGAGTACAGTTGTGTATTGTTGTATAGTTGTGTATAGCAGCACAGTTGAATCCACTCAAACAAATCAATATTGAGAATCCAGCGTTCACAAAGTGCAGTGTATTTTTGGAGCAGGAGGAGCAGGAGGAGGAGCAGGAGGAGGAGCAGGAGGAGGAGCAGCAGGAGGAGGAGGAGGAGGAGGAGCAGCAGGAGGAGGAGCAGCAAGAGGAGGAGGAGGAGCAGGAGGAGGAGCAGCAGGAGCAGGAGGAGGAGCAGGAGGAGGAGCAGCAAGAGGAGGAGGAGGAGCAGGAGGAGGAGCAGGAGGAGGAGCAGGAGGAGGAGCAGCAGGAGCAGGAGGAGGAGCAGCAGGAGGAGGAGGAGGAGGAGGATGAGGCTGAGGAGGAGGAGGAGGAGCAGCAAGAGGAGGAGGAGCAGTAGGAGCAGGAGGAGGAGGAGGAGGAAGGGGCTGTCCTTAAATAAGACACAAAGAGGAAACAGCAGAGGAAGAGGAAGCTGACGAAGGTCCGAGTGTTTTTATCACAAACATTTATCAGAGACGCCACAGTTCAACACAAATATCACTTTGAGACCAGAGAGAGACCAGAGAGAGACCAGAGAGAGACCAGAGAGAGACCAGAGAGAGACCTGAGAGAGACCAGAGAGAGACCAGAGAGAGACCAGAAAGAGACCAGAGAGAGACCAGAGAGAGACCTGAGAGAGACCAGAGAGAGACCAGAGAGAGACCTGAGAGAGACCAGAGAGAGACCAGAGAGAGAGACCAGAGAGAGACCAGAGAGAGACCTGAGAGAGACCTGAGAGAGACCAGAGAGAGACCTGAGAGAGACCTGAGAGAGACCAGAGAGAGACCAGAGAGAGACCAGAGAGAGACCTGAGAGAGACCAGAGAGAGACCAGAGAGAGACCTGAGAGAGACCAGAGAGAGACCAGAGAGAGACCAGAGAGAGACCAGAGAGAGACCAGAGAGAGAGACCAGAGAGAGACCAGAAAGAGACCAGAGAGAGAGACCAGAGAGAGACCAGAGAGAGACCAGAGAGAGAGACTTGAGAGAGACCAGAGAGAGACCAGAGAGACCAGAGAGAGAGACCAGAGAGAGAGGCCAGAGAGAGACCAGAGAGAGACCAGAGAGAGACCAGAGAGAGACCAGAGAGAGACCAGAGAGAGACCAGAGAGAGACCAGAGAGAGAGACCAGAGAGAGAGGCCAGAGAGAGACCAGAGAGAGACCAGAGAGAGACCAGAGAGAGACCAGAGAGAGACCAGAGAGAGACCAGAGAGAGAGACCAGAGAGAGAGACCAGAGAGAGACCAGAGAGAGACCAGAGAGAGACCATCACAAACACGTTGCTAAAATATGATGAAATCAGTACAAAAACATGTGTTCTTTAGTTCTGTGGGATCATGTAAACCCACACAGAAGAAGTCCAGTTAATCGAGATGTTTTTCTGAGGCTGTCAGTGGCGCTCTGTAATCACCGTTATCTGATGGCGGCCGGAGCAGGGCGCGGGGCCTATACATAGCAGTAAAAAGCCTGGACTCGCCGCTTAAAATGAGAAACTGTTGGATCAATGAACTCTGCAACACCAAGGGCGATGGAACAACAGCAGCAGAGGAGCCAAAGGCAAAATCATTACCACAGAAAGAGCTACTGTGGCACTTACCCCGACAATGAATGCTCTGTTAATCTACTGATCGCTGCTTTATGAGGCAGAAAACATTCACAAAGTCACTGGGTTAAGATGGAGGCACAAAAGCAAATAATGTGGGATTTAGTGAAAGTAAACGCACTTTCACTAAAGGACTGACACACCATTCAACACTGCAGACAGGATTTCCAAATTACTTTTACAGCCCCTAAATCTTGTTGTTTTAATTTCGATGTCCCGCCCTCCACCGTTTCACCAATGAGAAAGTCTGTGATCCGGGCGCCAGAGCTCACCGCGTGGAGCTAATCTCACTGGTAAAGTACCATGTGGCGCAGAACTAAGAAAGGTCTCGTTATGATTCTCAAATCATTAACGACAAAACAAGGAATAAAAGCAGGATTTCTATCTTTGTGAAAAAGGTGTTGGTTATAGATTTGTTGTTGACTAAACTCTTGTCTATTCAGCTGTTATGGTCCCAGCTGGATTCGTCTGCATATCTGGCAACCTGAGTCAGGGACAGTGGGAGAGGCTGCAGTACCACTTTTGACCAGATTCTTACAGACTGCTCCTTTAACTTTGGTTATTAACAAATATAATTTCAATTGGCAGCTGTTGTTTGTGTGTTTCTGTGGTTTCTACTGAGCGGGTTATGACATGTTCCATCTTTAACAAACTCTAAATGATAAGTCCATCTGTAACATGTGCTATTGTCCACGTCGTGCTGCTTCTGCTTCAGCCTCAGCCTCCTCTACCAGAAAGGAACAACACTTTGAGATGGTGTTTACATCCAAAACCACAAGAAAATAATGCATTGCTTTTTTGTTGAATGAAAAAATCTTTACTTTACCTTCTAAATTCCTGAAATTGGTGAATCTTTTAGCTATTAAAATAATCTATGGGCTGGAAACAAGAGAGAGCTCAATCGTTTGCAACAAGTTCTCCAATACGGCGGTCGTGGTTTGATGCCCACCTTTTTGACCCAACTACTCACAATGGCGTGGAACTCCTGATGCATGTACTGTATGTGCAACTGTATGGGATGTGAACCTTTTTGGAATGCCTTAAATGACCACGTTACAGCAGCATTACAATAACTACATTATTACTGTTGGAACGGGTTACTCCCAACACTGACAGGGACTATTTAGTCTTTTACTCACTGAAAATGGATCTATAGATACATTATTATTATTATTGACTAAACTTTCCTTTCACTTTATGAACCTAAGCCTCACTTGCACTTTGTTGCCGTGAGGTCTCTGTGAGGTCTCTGAGAGGTCTCTGAGAGGTCTTTGAGAGGTCTCTTTGAGGTCTCTCTGAGGTCTCTCTGAGGTCTCTGTGAGGTCTCTGTGAGGTCTCTGTGAGGTCTCTCTGAGGTCTCTGTAAGGTCTCTGTGAGGTCTCTGTGAGGGCTCTGAGGTCTCTCTGAGGTCTCTCTGAGGTCTCTGTGAGGTCTCTGTGAGGTCTCTGTGAGGTCTCTGTGAGGTCTCTCTGAGGTCTCTGTGAGGTCTCTCTGAAGTCTCTGTGAGGTCTCTGTGTGGTCTCTCTGAGGTCTCTCTGAGGTCTCTCTGAGGTCTCTGTGAGGTCTCTGTGAGGTCTCTCTGAGGTCTCTCTGAGGTCTCTCTGAGGTCTCTGTGGGGTCTGTGAGGTCTCTGTGAGGTCTGTGAGGTCTCTGTGAGGTCTCTGTGAGGTCTCTGTGAGGTCTCTGTGAGGTCTCTGTGAGGTCTCTCTGTGAGGTCTCTGTGAGGTCTGTGAGGTCTCTGTGTGGTCTCTCTGAGGTCTCTCTGAGGTCTCTGTGAGGTCTCTGTGAGGTCTCTCTGAGGTCTCTCTGAGAGGTCTCTGTGAGGTCTCTGTGAGGTCTCTGTGAGGTCTCTGTGAGGTCTCTGTGAGGTCTCTGTGAGGTCCACTCTTGAGTGTCCTTCCCTCTTCTGTGTGAATGTAAATGTTTATGAAGACTTAAACAGAGGTCCTGATCATGAATCTCACTTTGTCTCCGGGGCTCGTTCAGAAAAGCAGTAGAGTTTGGTTCGTGGCCGATTACAGAGACATAAACTCTGGACTAACGGGGAATGTCTACAGTAGGTGTAAACAGCGCGTACGCGTTTACTGCGCGCTCTCTGCGCGTAACATGTTTTTGGAGTATCTACACAGGCCGTGCAGGTCCTTCTGATGCTGTCCCTGTGTAGTCTGTGGAGCAGTGTAGAGGACAGTACAGAGACTGATGTAGAGCAACACAAATCACATGTGTTTGTCTTCATGGTCTCTGTTGCTGGTTTGGCCGGACGCCAGACTTTATGAAAGAAAAAAAACAATGTCCAGAATCACTGTAAAACCTGCTGCTCCTCCTGCTGATGTTTAGACACAAGTGCTGTGTGTGTGTGTGTGTGTGTGTGTGTGTGTGTCTGTGTGTGTGTGTGTCTGTGTGTGTGTGTGTGTGTGTGTGTGTGTGTGTAGACGTGATCTAGAGCCAAGGGCCGCTAGAAAAATCATGTTTTACATGAGATTTCAATGGGAGACGCGTTGGTGCGCGCACAAAATTAGAAATCCATCCTAAATTAGAGCGCAGCTTCGCGTCACATGTCCGTCATACACACGTATAACGCTAGAAGTGTAAATATCATCATAGGTTAACATGGAAACAAGTTACGCGCGTCTGCTGCGCGTATAACGCATACGTTGGATCTACAGCCTGAGTCCTGGATCTACAGTCTCAGTCCTGGATCTACAGTCTGAGTCCTGGATCTACAGTCTCAGTCCTGGATCTACAGTCTGAGTCCTGGATCTACAGCCTGAGTCCTGGATCTACAGCCTGAGTCCTGGATCTACAGTCTGAGTCCTGGATCTACAGTCTGAGTCCTGGATCTACAGTCTGAGTCCTGGGTCTACAGCGTGAGTCCTGGGTCTACAGCGTGAGTCCTGGATCTACAGCCTGAGTCCTGGGTCTACAGCCTGAGTCCTGGATCTACAGCCTGAGTCCTGGGTCTACAGCCTGAGTCCTGGATCTACAGCCTGAGTCCTGGGTCTACAGCCTGAGTCCTGGATCTACAGCCTGAGTCCTGGATCTACAGCCTCAGTCCTGGATCTACAGCCTCAGTCCTGGGTCTACAGCCTGAGTCCTCATTGTGAATCAACACTATGAGATAGCTACTGTTGTGATTTAGGGCTATACCATAGAATGTAAATATTACCAGACATAGTGACGCCTTTCTCCACCGCTGGGACTTGTGTTATCAATTTTCCCTCCTGCCGACCATTTCAAAATGGCCGCAGGTGGCCCCTCCCACAGGAAAATTGTGAAAAAACACATCTGTCAGCATTGACAGCATCTGGAATGTAGCGTTGGGCCAAGAGCCACTTTTGGACCAGGCTGTGAAGACGTTTTTGAGAGGAAAAAAGGTGTCGTAAGAATTCCTTGGATAATTCTGTTTCCGGGTACACCCCCACCAGCAAGGAGTCAGTGCAGGTGGTCACAGTGTTTTTGAGCCCACCCCCACTGTGCTACACAGATATACATTGAATTGATGTTGGCGGCCGATATAAGACACCATGCTTCTGTGTGAAACCAGAGACTTTAACCAGATCTGCTGGGACCAGACCAGACCTTATTCTTTGACGCTTATCAACAATCTTCATAGAACAAATACCCTCCTTGTGTTTCCTTCACAGTGTTATCGTTGCAGGAGGAGACTCTGCAGGACGTGGCTCTTACTTGATGTAGTTGTCTCCCGCTGGGATGGCCTCCTGGAAGAACTGGAACTGGTAAAGGTAGAGCACCACGATGTGACCGGCGCTGAAGATGGCCATGAGGACACACATGCAGCTGAAGAGCAGCGCGTCGAACGTCCGGCAGAGAGACCACCATGTGCACAGGAACAGGAAGACCAGGAAGTACACGGCCGAGGTCAGAGAGGGCAGCATCATCCCTGGAGAGACACAAGGAAGACCCAGTCATACTGAGGCATACCAGAGAGAACCAGAGAACCAGGACCATTCTACTGAGGCATACCAGAGAGAACCAGAGAGAACCAGGACCATTATACTGAGGCATACCAGAGAGAACCAGAGAGAACCAGGACCATTCTACTGAGGCATACCAGAGAGAACCAGAGAGAACCAGGACCATTATACTGAGGCATACCAGAGAGAACCAGAGAGAACCAGGATCATTCTACTGAGGCATACCAGAGAGAACCAGAGAGAACCAGGACCATCATACTGAGGCATACCAGAGAGAACCAGAGAGAACCAGGACCATTCTACTGAGGCATACCAGAGAGAACCAGGACCATTTTACTAAGGCATACCAGAGAGAACCAGAGAGAACCAGGACCATCATACTGAGGCATACCAGAGAGAACCAGAGAGAACCAGGACCATTCTACTGAGGCATACCAGAGAGAACCAGAGAGAACCAGGACCATTCTACGGAGGCATACCAGAGAGAACCAGAGAACCAGGACCATTCTACTGAGGCATACCAGAGAGAACCAGAGAACCAGGACCATTCTACTGAGGCATACCAGAGAGAACCAGAGAACCAGGACCATTATACAGAGGCATACCAGAGAGAACCAGAGAACCAGGACCATCATACAGAGGCATACAGAGAGAACCAGAGAGAACCAGGACCATTCTACTGAGGCATACCAGAGAGAGAACCAGGATCATCATACTGAGGCATACCAGAGAGAACCAGAGAGAACCAGGACCATTATACTGAGGCATACCAGAGAGAACCAGAGAGAACCAGGACCATTATACAGAGGCATACCAGAGAGAACCAGAGAACCAGGACCATTATACTGAGGCATACCAGAGAGAACCAGAGAACCAGGCCCATCATACTGAGGCATACCAGAGAGAACCAGAGAACCAGGCCCATCATACTGAGGCATACCAGAGAGAACCAGAGAGAACCAGGACCATTATACAGAGGCATACCAGAGAGAACCAGAGAGAACCAGGCCCATCATACTGAGGCATACAAGAGAAAAACAGAGAGAACCAGGATCATCATACTGAGGCATACCAGAGAGAACCAGAGAGAACCAGGACCATTATACTGAGGCATACCAGAGAGAACCAGGCTCATCATACTGAGGCATACCAGAGAGAACCAGAGAGAACCAGGATCATCATACTGAGGCATACCAGAGAGAACCAGAGAGAACCAGGACCATTATACTGAGGCATACCAGAGAGAACCAGGCTCATCATACTGAGGCATACCAGAGAGAACCAGAGAACCAGGACCATTATACTGAGGCATACCAGAGAGAACCAGAGAGAACCAGGACCATTATACAGAGGCATACCAGAGAGAACCAGAGAGAACCAGGCCCATCATACTGAGGCATACCAGAGAGAACCAGGACCATTATACAGAGGCATACCAGAGAGAACCAGAGAGAACCAGGCCCATCATACTGAGGCATACCAGAGAGAACCAGAGAGAACCAGGACCATTCTACTGAGGCATACCAGAGAGAGAACCAGGCTCATCATACTGAGGCATACCAGAGAGAACCAGAGAACCAGGACCATTATACTGAGGCATACCAGAGAGAACCAGAGAACCAGGACCATTATACTGAGGCATACCAGAGAGAACCAGAGAACCAGGACCATTATACAGAGGCATACCAGAGAGAACCAGAGAACCATGACCATTATACAGAGGCATACCAGAGAGAACCAGAGAACCAGGACCATTATACAGAGGCATACCAGAGAAAACCAGAGAGAATCAGGACCATTATACAGAGGCATACCAGAGAGAACCAGAAAGAACCAGGACCATTATACTGAGGCATACCAGAGAGAACCAGAGAACCAGGACCATTATACTGAGGCATACCAGAGAGAACCAGAGAACCAGGCCCATCATACTGAGGCATACCAGAGAGAACCAGAGAACCAGGCTCATCATACTGAGGCATACCAGAGAGAACCAGGACCATTATACAAAGGCATACCAGAGAGAACCAGAGAGAACCAGGCCCATCATACTGAGGCATACCAGAGAGAACCAGAGAGAACCAGGCCCATCATACTGAGGCATACCAGAGAGAACCAGAGAACCAGGACCATTATACTGAGGCATACCAGAGAGAACCAGAGAGAACCAGGAACATTATACTGAGGCATACCAGAGAGAACCAGAGAGAACCAGGACCATTATACAGAGGCATACCAGAGAGAACCAGAGAGAACCAGGCTCATCATACTGAGGCATACCAGAGAGAACCAGAGAACCAGGCCCATCATACTAAGGCATACCAGAGAGAACCAGAGAGAACCAGGCCCATCATACTGAGGCATACCAGAGAGAACCAGAGAGAACCAGGACCATTATACTGAGGCATACCAGAGAGAACCAGAGAACCAGGCTCATCATACTGAGGCATACCAGAGAGAACCAGAGAGAACCAGGCTCATCATACTGAGGCATACCAGAGAAAACCAGAGAGAACCAGGAACATTATACTGAGGCATACCAGAGAGAACCAGGCTCATCATACTGAGGCATACCAGAGAGAACCAGAGAGAACCAGGCCCATCATACTGAGGCATACCAGAGAGAACCAGAGAGAACCAGGACCATTATACTGAGGCATATCAGAGAGAACCAGAGAGAACCAGGACCATTATACTGAGGCATACCAGAGAGAACCAAAGAACCAGGACCATCATACTGAGGCATACCAGAGAGAACCAGAGAGAACCAGGACCATTATACTGAGGAATACCAGAGAGAACCAGGCCCATTATATTAATGCATACCAGAAAGAACCAGGACCATCATACTACTGCATACCAGAGAGAACCAGAGAGAACCAGGCCCATCACCAAAGAGGAACATTTGGGCCCTTGACATTCAACAGCATTAATGGACACTGGTCGTTCGCCCGTTATCTCCTCAGAGAAAACTACTGTGATAGATATATTGATAACATATACAACATAAGCAGCTGTTATGTTTCTTGGCTAGCTGTAAATGCTTCCATATCAATACCTCTTTATCTATTGTGTAAAGTTATATACATCATTGGTTTGAATTTCCTGTCATCTACGGCCCTTCCCCCCCCTCTCTAGGCTTCTCGGGGTCCTCTCTCCAATCCAACGTCTCTCCTAGAGTACAGGTGGAAGCATATTTGAAACTATCAAATAGCCAGCACTCATGTTTAGATATTCACAGTGCCTCTAATTTAAGCACATGACAGGAGCAAACAGCACCTGACGACAGCAACTTCCTGAACGTGTCATCTCAAAATCTGTAATCACAGAATAAATCCAATACTCTGGCTCTCACCGGCCATGCCCAGCAGGATGGTGACCACCACTTTCCCGGCGGTGGTGATGAGGTTCCCGATCACGTCCTTGAGCTTGGAGGCCACTTCCGCCACGATGCGCAGCACTCTCATCTTGGCGCTCTCCTTCACCTCCTCCTCCTCCTCTTCGTCCTCCTCATCGTCGAACAGCTCGTCTTCCTCCTGCTCGGCCTCGTATCCCGCCTCCAGGTCGTCCAGCAGGATGTGGTCGTCCAGACTGAGCTTCTCCTCCTGCTCCTGCTCCTCCTGCGAGACGAGGAGAGACTGAGCTTTAAAGGTAGACAGTGTAGTTTTTACTCCCATCTAGTCTGAGATCATTTAATGTAATCTATGGTTCTTCTACGGTGGCCTCACAGGACAATAACATGTCGTCTTTGACAGTGGTCCCCAACTCTCAGTCAAACTCCTTTTTGTCCCTTATCTCAAGGACATTTATAAGTCAAATTCTAAGTCTATGACAACAATTTAAAAACATGGTGGAGGTAAATATTCTGAAAAAGGTCACATTTGTTGTTGGTTGTTTATTTTCATTTGGAGCAACTGTAAAAATGACACAGAGTACGTTTAAGGGAATCAAACAAGTGCACGTTCTTCAAGTCATTTCAGTCATTTAGGAGGTGTCACATTTCCACCATACACTCTATATCAAGGGTCTCCAAACGTTTTTATCCGGAGAGTGTCACTCTGTTAAGCAACTGTGGGGAAATGAGTGTATGTAATGGTGAGAGCGAGCCTTAGATGGGGAACTTTTTATTATTAAAAAAGTACCCAATAAGTTTATAATCTGTTATTGCAAAGTCCATTACAAAGCACATTTACAGCAGTGGATGGAATGTGAATCAAATCCCTCATTTAAAAGAAGAGCCACTTGGAAGTGTGTGTCGAGCTACCGGTAGCTCTTGCGCCACAGGTTGGAGACCCCTGCTGTGTATAGATGGACAAAGCTAACCCGCTAGCTCGTTAGGGCCGTGCTGCTATTGTCTGACATTACACCAGTCTGTGGCACTAAAAAGAGATGGCTGATCCAAGCTACACATTAGCCGCTGTGAAGCTAACGCTGTCGGTAGGGCTCCAGCTATCTTATGTTCAAATCATCTTACTTTGCATCAAGGCTAACATGGGGTAAGCACAGATTAAGTGAATTGTTGCACCTAAACAACAGCAGACACCAGTGGGAGTAGATTGAACCCACAACCATGAGGCACGAAGACATCAAATATTTCTACTTTTGAATTAATTTCCAATGATAATAAACACATCTTGAATGGCTTTTGATCCTTAGAGCCTGCACGCACACACACACACACACACACACACACACACACACACACACACACCCACACACACACACACACACACACACACACACACACACACACACACACACACACACACACACACACACTGCACTGATCTGTGTGTGAGGTTTGTGAGACATTGCGGACTTGGCTTCGGTTCAGATTTAAATTGAGCTCTTTTGGCAGCTGCGTCTCTTCACTGGCTGCGTTTGGAGTGAAAACATAACGGCTTTCAATTGTTTTATGACTTTCTGTGTGAGAAAAGCCACTCAGTGTTGGTTTAATATCTCATTTGAATGCAGTAAAACATTTATATTGGACAGAGGAGCAGTAATAACCCACCTATAGATTTGTGCTTTTGCTCCGCGATGAGGAGCTGTGCCAGCGAGATCTGCAACCGGCAACTGGAGCCGCTTTAATTAACACCATGTTGTAAAGAGGCTGGAGACGGGCCAAAGGGACACGGCCCATCAGACTATCTCCAATCTCTCACCAAACTATCTCCAATCTCTCACCAAACTATCTCCAATCTCTCACCAAACTATCTCCAATCTCTCACCAAACTCTCTCCAATCTCTCACCAAACTATCTCCAATCTCTCACCAAACTATCTCCAAACTCTCACCAAACTATCTTCAATCTCTCACCAAACTCTCTCCAATCTCTCACCAAACTATCTCCAATCTCTCACCAAACTATCTCCAAACTCTCACCAAACTATCTTCAATCTCTCACCAAACTCTCTCCAATCTCTCACCAAACTATCTCCAATCTCTCACCAAACTATCTTCAATCTCTCACCAAACTATCTCCAATCTCTCACCAAACTCCCTCCAATCTCTCACCAAACTATCTCCAATCTCTCACAAAACTATCTCCAATCTCTAACAAAACTATCTCCAATCTCTCACCAAACTATCACCAAACTCTCACCAAACTATCTTCAATCTCTCACCAAACTATCTCCAATCTCTCACCAAACTCTCTCCAATCTCTCACCAAACTATCTCCAATCTCTCACCAAACTATCTTCAATCTCTCACCAAACTATCTCCAATCTCTCACCAAACTATCTCCAATCTCTCACCAAACTATCTCCAATCTCTCACCAAACTATCTCCAATCTCTCACCTCTCACCAAACTATCTCCAATCTCTCACCAAACTATCTCCAATCTCTCACCTCTCACCAAACTATCTCCAATCTAGCACTAATTTCTCACCAAACTTTTACCAAAAGCACCATCATCTAAAGTGTCCAGAAAGAGACATTCAGGTGATCAAAGCCTCACCGAAGTCTTATCAAAGTATCTCCAAACTCTCACCAAAGTCTCATCAAAATCTCACCAAACTCTCACCAAAGTCTCACCAAAGTCTCATCAAACTCTCATCAAACTCTCATCAAACTCTCATCAAACTCTCATCAAAGTCTCATCAAACTCTCACCAAAGTCTCATCAAAGTCTCATCAAAGTCTCATCAAACTCTCATCAAAGTCTCATCAAACTCTCACCAAAGTCTCACCAAAGTCTCACCAAAGTCTCACCAAAGTCTCACCAAACTCTCACCAAAGTCTCACCAAAGTCTCACCAAAGTCTCATCAAATTATCACCAAAGTCTCATCAAAGTCTCATCAAAGTCTCACCAAAGTCTCACCAAACTCTCACCAAAGTCTCACCAAAGTCTCATCAAAGTCTCATCAAAGTCTCACCAAAGTCTCTCCAAACTCTCACCAAACTCTCACCAAAGTCTCATAAAACTCTCACCAAAGTCTCATCAAACTCTCACCAAAGTCTCATCAAACTCTCACCAAAGTCTCATCAAACTCTCACCAAAGTCTCATCAAACTCTCACCAAAGTCTCATCAAACTCTCACCAAAGTCTCATCAAAGTCTCACCAAAGTCTCATCAAAGTCTCACCAAAGTCTCACCAAAGTCTCATCAAAGTCTCATAAAACTCTCACCAAAGTCTCATCAAACTCTCACCAAAGTCTCATCAAAGTCTCACCAAACTCTCACCAAACTCTCACCAAAGTCTCATCAAAGTCTCACCAAACTCTCACCAAAGTCTCATCAAACTCTCACCAAAGTCTCATCAAAGTCTCACCAAAGTCTCATCAAAGTCTCACCAAAGTCTCACCAAACTCTCACCAAAGTCTCACCAAAGTCTCATCAAAGTCTCATCAAAGTCTCACCAAAGTCTCATCAAAGTCTCACCAAACTCTCACCAAAGCCTCACCAAACTCTCACCAAAGTCTCATCAAACTCTCACCAAAGTCTCATCAAAGTCTCACCAAACTCTCACCAAAGTCTCACCAAACTCTCACCAAAGTCTCATCAAAGTCTCACCAAACTCTCACCAAAGTCTCACCAAACTCTCACCAAAGTCTCATCAAAGTCTCACCAAACTCTCACCAAAGTCTCATCAAACTCTCACCAAACTCTCACCAAAGTCTCACCAAAGTCTCACCAAAGTCTCATCAAAGTCTCATCAAAGTCTCATCAAAGTCTCACCAAACGCACAAGAGGAACATCATCTAAAGTTACTTGGATTTAATATTCACATTCTTCTACTCACTCGACCTTGGCTCAAAGAAAGCAGCCCAGGCCCAGTCCTCAACACTGGCACCAATCTCTCACTAAACTCTCACCAATCTCTATCTAATCTCTCCCCAATCTCCCAAACTCTAAACTCTATCTAATCTCTCTCCAATCTCTCTTTAATCTCTCTCCAATCTCTCACAAATCTCTCACCAATCTCTCTCCAATCTCTCTCCAATCTCTCTCTAATCTGTAACCAATCTCTCACCAATCTTTCTCCCATCTCTCTCTTTAAACTCTCTCTAAACTCTCTCTAATCTCTTTCTGAACTCTCTCTAATCTCCCTCCAGTCTCTCACCAATCTCTCTCAGTAATGTGCTATACAAATAGACTTGACGTTGACTTCTCTGTGTACGGTCATTAGTTAGAGATTAGTTAGTCTCTGATCTCTCACCTGCTCCTCGGGCTCGAAGTCTGCGTTGTACTGCCCCATCTCCTCCGCCGCCCTCTTCTGCACCAGACTCCGGCACAGGAGCCAGATCCCCAGCCCGGCCACAAACATCCCAATGTCCGGGATGAAGATCCGCATTCCGTTCCCCGCGTCCGCTCCGATCACACTGAAAACACACAGAGACAGGGTTATTCGTATGGCACACAGAGAAGAAGCCTGTCTCACGTTTTCAGGAAGACTTTAGCTGCAAGAATCTGGCACACTGTCTCCCCATGTTTTAGTCCTGACTCTGGAACCAGCAGGAGGCCAGTCCCTGTGCTCCTCAGAGTCCCAGCAGGAGGCCAGTCCCTGTGCTCCTCAGAGTCCCAGCAGGAGTCAGTCCCTGTGCTCCTCAGAGTCCCAGCAAGAGGCCAGTCCCTGTGCTCCTCAGAGTCCCCGCAGGAGCCTAGTCCCTGTGCTCCTCAGAGTCCCAGCAGGAGGCTAGTCCCTGTGCTCCTCAGAGTCCCAGCAGGAGGCCAGTCCCTGTGCTCCTCAGAGTCCCAGCAGGAGTCAGTCCCTGTGCTCCTCAGAGTCCCAGCAAGAGGCCAGTCCCTGTGCTCCTCAGAGTCCCCGCAGGAGGCTAGTCCCTGTGCTCCTCAGAGTCCCAGCAGGAGGCCAGTCCCTGTGCTCCTCAGAGTCCCAGCAGGAGTCAGTCCCTGTGCTCCTCAGAGTCCCAGCAAGAGGCCAGTCCCTGTGCTCCTCAGAGTCCCAGCAGGAGGCCAGTCCCTGTGCTCCTCAGAGTCCCAGCAGGAGGCCAGCCCCTGTGCTCCTCTCTCTCCTCCATGTGTCCCTGTGTGTATAGTATATGTTCTGTTATCTCTGTATGTATCTTGTATCTGTTTAGTGTCATTAAATGTCCTTGTTTATATTTTTTCATATCCATTCAACAACTTTACATTTTAGCTAAACTAAGTCACATTGAACCTTTGGTAAGTCCACACATGCTGCACAGCCAATACTCAAACTGTTACCTTCTGTGTTAATATAGAGCAGAACTTTATATGACATTAGCAGAAAGTTGTTGATAGCCCTTTATGTTGTGTTTAGATAGATAGATTCTCCTTCCTACTCCCTTTCAGGCAACTATTTTGGTTTATTTTTCATATTTTCCCTCTTACGCATGTTAGCAATACTTTATCAAGCTATGATGGACAAGAGGTGACCCAAAAAATAAAAATAAACAAACATGCCGCTAACCCCGGAGAGCTGGAGATCCGTCTCCCTAAACGCTCCATTAAGACTAAACCAGTGCAGAGCGGATAAATTCACACAATTGTAAAAAGTTAATTTGAGCATCGGCTAAAGCTGTATTTGCAGATCCAGCATTATTAGTATTTATTTGAGACCAGAATAGCACATTTCACCGGCGCAGGGGATTAAACCTAACACCATAATTTCTACCGATAACCATTTAAAATCCGGAGTAGACGCCGGACTCTCTCGCTCTCGCACTTGTTGCTATTGGACTGTGCCATTAAAGTCTTAAATACTTAATCCTGTCTCATAAAAACCACTCTTTTAAGCTACATTTAATCCCGTTTTTACAGTGTTTTCGTGCATGACGCGGTAAACACAGCCGTTCCCGTGAACCGGTGGGAATCCGGGCTTTTCCTCTGTTCTGCTTTTATACAGAGTTCCACCCTGTAATGAAACACGCAGCTCTGAGAAATGAAAGGCCATTAGCGGCGAGTAAAATTCCACTCAAACGAAAAAGAGCGAAGGCCGATAAAAAAGGTGCAGTGCATGTGCTGTTGTTGTGATAAAACTAGGGCTGTCAAACGATTCACATTTTTTAGTTGATTAATCTCGTAGTAATGGTGAGTTAGATCACGATTAATCGCATTCTCAACATTCTGTCTCCGTGAAGTCCCATGCGCTTCTGAGCACAAGCCATTCATTTGAAAAAGGCGCCATCTTGGATCACCGGGGCTTGGATCTGATACATATGCTAACATTAGCATTAGCCCAACTTCTTGTAAGCTGTACAACAATCACTGATGAAATGGTACAAAAGCAACGCACTGCTAACACAATATATAACTGAAAGATTACCACTAGTTTCACGTCCAAATGTAGTCCGAGCGTAGATAGTCCGAGCGTAAATAGTCCGAGCGTAGATAGTCCGAGCGTAGATGGTGCAAGCATAGATAGTGCGAGCATAGACAGTCCGAGCATAGACAGTCCGAGCGTAGACAGTCCGAGCGTAGACAGTCCGAGCGTAGACAGTCCGAGCGTAGATAGTCCGAGCGTAGATAGTCCGAGCGTAGATAGTCCGAGCGTAGATAGTCCGAGCGTAGATAGTCCGAGCGTAGATAGTCCGAGCGTAGATAGTCCGAGCGTAGATAGTCCGAGCGTAGATAGTCCGAGCGTAGATAGTACGAGCGTAGATAGTCCGAGCGTAGATAGTCCGAGCGTAGATAGTACGAGCGTAGATAGTACGAGCGTAGATAGTCCGAGCGTAGATAGTCCGAGCGTAGATAGTCCGAGCGTAGATAGTCCGAGCGTAGATAGTCCGAGCGTAGATAGTCCGAGCGTAGATAGTGCGAGCATAGATAGTCCGAGCGTAGATAGTCCGAGCGTAGATAGTCCGAGCGTAGATAGTCCGAGCGTAGATAGTCCGAGCGTAGATAGTCCGAGCGTAGATAGTCCGAGCATAGATAGTGCAAGCATAAATAGTCCGAGCATAGATAGTGCGAGCATAGATAGTGCGAGCGTAGATACTCCGAGCGTAGATAGTCAGAGCGTAGATAGTCCGAGCGTAGATAGTCCGAGCGTAGATAGTCCGAGCGTAGATAGTCCGAGCGTAGATAGTCCGAGCGTAGATAGTGCGAGCGTAGATAGTCCGAGCGTAGATAGTCCGAGCGTAGATAGTGCGAGCGTAGATAGTGCGAGCGTAGACAGTCCGAGCGTAGACAGTCCGAGCGTAGATAATCCGAGCGTAGATAGTCCGAGCGTAGATAGTTCGAGCGTAGATAGTCCGAGCGTAGATAGTCCGAGCGTAGATAGTCCGAGCGTAGATAGTGCGAGCGTAGATAGTGCGAGCGTAGACAGTCCGAGCGTAGACAGTCCGAGCGTAGATAATCCGAGCGTAGATAGTCCGAGCGTAGATAGTCCGAGCGTAGATAGTCCGAGCGTAGACAGTCCGAGCGTAGATAGTCCGAGCGCAGATAGTCCGAGCGCAGATAGTCCGAGCGTAGATAGTCCGAGCGTAGATAGTCTGAGCGTAGATAGTCCGAGCGTAGATAGTCCGAGCGTAGATAGTCCGAGCGTAGATAGTCTGAGCGTAGATAGTCTGAGCGTAGATAGTCTGAGCGTAGATAGTCCGAGCGTAGATATTCCGAGCGTAGATAGTCCGAGCGTAGACAGTCCGAGCGTAGACAGTCCGAGCGTAGATAGTCCGAGCGTAGATAGTCCGAGCGTAGATAGTCCGAGCGTAGACAGTCCGAGCGCACATAGTCCGAGCGCAGATAGTCCGAGCGCAGATAGTCCGAGCGTAGATAGTCCGAGCGTAGATAGTCTGAGCGTAGATAGTCTGAGCGTAGATAGTCTGAGCGTATAGTCTGAGCGTAGATAGTCCGAGCGTAGATAGTCCGAGCGTAGATAGTCTGAGCGTAGATAGTCTGAGCGTATAGTCTGAGCGTAGACAGTCCGAGCGTAGACAGTCCGAGCGTAGATAGTCCGAGCGTAGACAGTCCGAGCGTAGATAGTCCGAGCGCAGATAGTGCGAGCGTAGATAGTCCGAGCGTAGATAGTCCGAGCGTAGATAGTCCGAGCGTAGATAGTCCGAGCGTAGATAGTCCGAGCATAGATAGTGCAAGCATAAATAGTAGTGCGAGCATAGATAGTGCGAGCGTAGATACTCCGAGCGTAGATAGTCAGAGCGTAGATAGTCCGAGCGTAGATAGTCCGAGCGTAGATAGTCCGAGCGTAGATAGTCCGAGCGTAGATAGTCCGAGCGTAGATAGTGCGAGCGTAGATAGTCCGAGCGTAGATAGTCCGAGCGTAGATAGTGCGAGCGTAGATAGTGCGAGCGTAGACAGTCCGAGCGTAGACAGTCCGAGCGTAGACAATCCGAGCGTAGATAGTCCGAGCGTAGATAGTCCGAGCGTAGATAGTCCGAGCGTAGATAGTCCGAGCGTAGATAGTCCGAGCGTAAATAGTGCGAGCGTAGATAGTGCGAGCGTAGACAGTCCGAGCGTAGACAGTCCGAGCGTAGATAATCCGAGCGTAGATAGTCCGAGCGTAGATAGTCCGAGCATAGATAGTCCGAGCGTAGACAGTCCGAGCGTAGATAGTCCGAGCGCAGATAGTCCGAGCGCAGACAGTCCGAGCGTAGACAGTCCGAGCGTAGACAGTCCGAGCGTAGACAGTCCGAGCGTAGATAGTCCGAGCGTAGATAGTCTGAGCGTAGATAGTCTGAGCGTAGATAGTCTGAGCGTAGATAGTCCGAGCGTAGATATTCCGAGCGTAGATAGTCCGAGCGTAGACAGTCCGAGCGCAGATAGTCCGAGCGCAGATAGTCCGAGCGCAGATAGTCCGAGCGTAGATAGTCCGAGCGTAGATAGTCCGAGCGTAGATAGTCCGAGCGTAGATAGTCCGAGCATAGATAGTCCGAGCGTAGACAGTCCGAGCGTAGATAGTCCGAGCGCAGATAGTCCGAGCGCAGACAGTCCGAGCGTAGATAGTCCGAGCGTAGACAGTCCGAGCGTAGACAGTCCGAGCGTAGATAGTCCGAGCGTAGATAGTCTGAGCGTAGATAGTCTGAGCGTAGATAGTCTGAGCGTAGATAGTCCGAGCGTAGACAGTCCGAGCGCAGATAGTCCGAGCGCAGATAGTCCGAGCGCAGATAGTCCGAGCGTAGATAGTCCGAGCGTAGATAGTCCGAGCGTAGATAGTCCGAGCGTAGATAGTCCGAGCGTAGATAGTCCGAGCGTAGACAGTCCGAGCGTAGATAGTCCGAGCGCAGATAGTCCGAGCGCAGACAGTCCGAGCGTAGACAGTCCGAGCGTAGACAGTCCGAGCGTAGACAGTCCGAGCGTAGATAGTCCGAGCGTAGATAGTCTGAGCGTAGATAGTCTGAGCGTAGATAGTCCGAGCGTAGATATTCCGAGCGTAGATAGTCCGAGCGTAGACAGTCCGAGCGCAGATAGTCCGAGCGCAGATAGTCCGAGCGCAGATAGTCCGAGCGTAGATAGTCCGAGCGTAGATAGTCCGAGCGTAGATAGTCTGAGCGTAGATAGTCTGAGCGTAGATAGTCCGAGCGTAGACATTCCGAGCGTAGACAGTCCGAGCGCAGACAGTCCGAGCGCAGATAGTCCGAGCGCAGATAGTCCGAGCGCAGATAGTCCGAGCGTAGATAGTCCGAGCGTAGATAGTCTGAGCGTAGATAGTCTGAGCGTAGATAGTCTGAGCGTAGATAGGCCGAGCGTAGATAGTCCGAGCGTAGATAGTCCGCAGGTCTCTCCCATAGACCAGTCTCTCCAGAGGATACGATGTAAGCTAGCTCTGTTCAGGGCTTGGTTTCTTCTTTGATCATGTTTTGCTTTAGTTCCTCTTCTCTTCCTCACTGTTGTGTGGTTTGGGCTGTTTTTCTGTGTCTGCAGTTACAGCCAGAGGAGCTAAAGCTGCTTTCAGCTCCACGCGGCTAGAGAAGGTGTGGCCTGTTCGTAACAGCGCCGCTCCTCGTTCTGTGATTGGAGGAGAGCTAGCGCCACGCCAAGTCTCTACTCAGCACTTTATCCAGCCTGAATTCATACACATCTGAATCAATGAGCTCAAGCTTTCAATTAAATTACGGATTTTAATACAACTTGTGTGTAGTAATACACATTTTTATGATCTCATTAGAAAATAAATAGGGTATAGCTTCTATAACGTCGTCGGAACAAAATCCCGTATAAAGAAATTGGCTCCAGCTAGCTTATGGCTCCTGCATTAAGGCAAACACTATGGTGATGTCACACTCGGTCAGTTCCCTGCTGAAAACCGGTTGTATGGAGTTTATACATATGTAATTATGAAATTACATATGTTTGAATCGGAGCAAAATTAAAACCTTAAAACTGGGAGAATGATGGGAGTTCTAGTGTTGAAACAAAACCCTAGTCCTTAGTTTCCATGGTGTGGAAAGTCCCTCTGGTCTCAGTGCATCTGGATCCAACAGAGGTCCTTAAAGTCTCCACATTTGGATTCTGGTCACCGGTTTCAACTTTGATCCGAGATCCGCGGCGTTCCTCTGCTTCCACAGAATAATGAAACACGTCGGTCTGGAGCCGGGAGCGGAGCAAACACAAACACAAGTTCATTTGGAGAAATTAAAGTTGGGTTTTAAAGTTGGGTTTTAAAGCTGCGAGGACCGACTTTTATGGGATTGAATGTAGCGTAATCATGACACCTCGTAAAGACCTCCTGAGGGCAGTGAAGGCGTCACGAGGGGTTCGAGGCCCCAGTGTGTCCAGGTGTGGAAGCAGCAACACACAGTATCTATAAGAGCAGGGTGCGGATACATACATCATCTGGATCAGGCACGTGGGCTAAAGCCGGCCCCGAGACAGTTTTTAGAGGCCCCTGTAAAGATTTTCAAAGATCTTTATCGCCGTAACTTGCAGCATTGATGATAAGAGGCATGTTATACTTGTTTCCTAAAATGTAAAAATTTAATAAATATTTGGCCCAGTTCTGGTAGAATCTAGCCTTAGCCTCATCCATGTGTAAACTCTGGTCCATGATAATTTCCTACATGTACGTCTGGTCTTACCATGTGTAAACTCTGGTCCATGATCATTTCCTACATGTACGTCTGGTCTTACCATGTGTAAACTCTGGTCCATGATCATTTCCTACATGTACGTCTGGTCTTACCATGTGTAAACTCTGGTCCATGGTCATTTCCTACATGTACGTCTGGTCTTACCATGTGTAAACTCTAGTCCATGATCATTTCCTACATGTACGTCTGGTCTTACCATGTGTAAACTCTGGTCCATGATCATTTCCTACATGTACGTCTGGTCTTACCATGTGTAAACTCTGGTCCATGATCATTTCCTACATGTACGTCTGGTCTTGCCATGTGTAAACTCTGGTCCATGATCATTTCCTACATGTACGTCTGGTCTTACCATGTGTAAACTCTGGTCCATGATCATTTCCTACATGTACGTCTGGTCTTACCATGTGTAAACTCTGGTCCATGATCATTTCCTACATGTACGTCTGGTCTTACCATGTGTAAACTCTGGTCCATGATCATTTCCTACATGTACGTCTGGTCTTACCATGTGTAAACTCTGGTCCATGATCATTTCCTACATGTACGTCTGGGTCTGATCCTAGTGGCTGCAGTTTCCTCGGTCAAATCCCATTCGACCAATCAGAGAGCGGGGGAGGCGGGTGTTGTACGGAGGTGTCGAGACGTCAAGAGTTCGCGCAAAATTTGCTGGTTGTAGTTCGCTGGCCTCTCAAGTCTCTCTCTGGTCTCTCACTGGTCTGTCTCTGGTCTCTCTCTGGTCCCTCTCTCTGGTCTCTCTCTGGTCTCTCTGGTCTCTCCCTTGTCTCTCTCTCAGGTCTCTCTCTGGTCTCTCTGGTCTATCTCTGGTCTCTCTTTGGGCTCTCTCTGGTCTCTCTCTGGTCTCTCTCTGGTCTCTCTCTAGTCTAGTCTATCTGTGTTGTAAATATGATCCTATACTTGCATTACGGCACGACTGGTTAGATTCTAAACATCCTTGTCCTGGTATCGTAAAGTTGAGTCTAATCTAATCTAAAATATAATCTGTGATTTTGCTTGAAGACGCTCCATGTGGTAAATAACAAACATACTGTGGAATGGAAGGTGGAGTATACAGAAGGACATAATGTTTACTGCGTGGACTTCCGCCACTTACTCTGATCCTGAGTGTGGAAAATGCACACAGCCAGATGCGTTCCCGTAGACTGCAAACCACAGCTAATAGGATCAGAGAGACCAGAGACCAGAGAGAGACCAGAGAGAGACCAGAGAGAGACCAGAGATAGACCAGAGAGACCAGAGAGAGACCAGAGACTAGAGAGAGACCAGAGAGAGACCAGAGAGAGACCAGAGAAAGACCAGAGAGAGACCAGAGAGAGACCAGAGAGAGACCAGAGAGAGACCAGAGAGAGGCCAAAGAGAGACCAGAGATAGACCAGAGAGACCAGAGAGAGACCTGCGAGAGAGACAAGGGAGAGACCAGAGAGAGACCAGAGAGAGACCAGAGAGAGACCTGCGAGAGAGACAAGGGAGAGACCAGAGAGAGACCAGAGAGAGAGAAACGAGATGTACGGGGAAACTCCAGCCATAATTATAACCAGATGAAATAAAACTGAGGAACTTATTGTGTGTTAAAACTATATTAAACAGGTATATGTGTGTGTGTGTGTATGTGTGTGTATCTGTTTATGTTTGTGTGTGTGTATATAAATGCGTGTGTATGTGTGTAACCATGTGTATGTGTGTAACCATGTGTATGTTTATTTATGTGTGTGCTTCTGTGTCTTACCTCTCGAAGCCGATCTGTCGGATGGACTTTTCCCACGTGGAGCCTGGAACACAGACGTACCATGAGTTTGGCACCGGCACTTTGGCACCGGCACTTTCTCACTTTTAACAACAACACGTTTATGGAATGTGCCGATCAGGAGCAGAACTACAGGTGCCCCAGCGGGACATTTCCACTGCCCTCACACTCTTTACACAGGCTGTAAACACAAGCGCCAATTTATTACAATAACGCGTCCAAATGGGTTGATTACTGACAACGTGAGAACTCTGAGTGTTTCCCAAAGTGAGGTCCGAGCCACAGCCGGGAAAGCCTCCGAACACAAGGCAAGTTTATTTGTATCGCACAATTCATACACAACGCAACGTGCGGAACAAAACAACACAGACAAAGGGGATGCGTATCACAGTCGTACGTATTAAGTTAGACTGTGATTCGTGACTCCACTGCAGGTTAAAGCTAGATACTGTCAGACCTCTGAAGCTAAGCAGGGAAGGGCCTGGTTAGTACTGTGATGGGAGACCTCTGGGAACAGCAGGTGCCACAGTGGGGCGGCTGTGGCTGTAAAGTGCCAGACTGTGGTTGTGTCCTTGGGCAAGACACTTCCCCCACATTAGAATGAGTCTGGTGTGTGTGTGAATGGTTGGTGGTGGTGGGAGGGGCTGATGGCACAGACTGGTTGCCTCGCTTCTGTCAGTGTGACCCAGGGCAGCTGTGGCTACAGTAGTTTATCACAACTGTGTTTGGAGAGAAAGAATAGAATAGAATGAAAAGACATGTGAAGTTTCTCTCTCTCTGGTCCCTCTATAGTCTCTCTCTGGCCTTTCTTTCTGGTCTCTCTCTGGTCTCTCTCTGGTCTCTCTCTAGTCTCTCTCTAGTCTCTCTCTTGTCTCTCTCTTGTCTCTCTCTGCTCTCTCTCTGGTGTCTCTCTCTGGTCCTTCTCTAGTAGTCTCTCTCTGGTCTCTCTCTGGTCTCTCTCTTGTCTCTCTCTGGTCTTTCTGGTCTCTCTCTAGTCTCTCTCTAGTCTCTCTCTTGTCTCTCTCTGCTCTCTCTCTGGTCCCTCTATAGTCTCTCTCTGGTCTTTCTTTCTGGTCTCTCTCTGGTCTCTCTCTTGTCTCTCTCTGGTCTCTCTCTTGTCTCTCTCTGGTCTTTCTGGTCTCTCTCTAGTCTCTCTCTTGTCTCTCTCTGCTCTCTCTCTGGTGTCTCTCTCTGGTCCTTCTCTAGTAGTCTCTCTCTGGTCTCTCTCTTGTCTCTCTCTGGTCTTTCTGGTCTCTCTCTAGTCTCTCTCTAGTCTCTCTCTTGTCTCTCTCTGCTCTCTCTCTGGTCCCTCTATAGTCTCTCTCTGGTCTTTCTTTCTGGTCTCTCTCTGGTCTCTCTCTTGTCTCTCTCTGGTCTCTCTCTTGTCTCTCTCTGGTCTTTCTGGTCTCTCTCTAGTCTCTCTCTAGTCGCCCATCTCCCTCTGGTCTGTCCCCCTCTCGCTCTCTCTCTCTCTGCTCTCTCCCTCTATGGTCTCTCTCTCTAGTCTCTCCCTCTCCCCCCCCTCTTTCTCTCTGGTCTCTCTCCCTCTCCCTCTCTCCCTCTGGTCTCTTTCTCTCTCTAGTTTCTCCCTCTCTCTCATTCTCCATCTCCCTCTGGTCTGTCCCCCTCTCTCACTTTCTCTCTCTGGTCTCTCCCTCTCTACCTCTCCCTCCGGTCTCTCTCTCTCTTCCTCTCTCTGGTCTCTCTCTCTCAATCTCTCTCCCTCCCTCTGGTATCTCCCTCCGTCTGGTCTGTCTCTCCCTCTCCTTCTCTCTTGCTCTGGTCTCTCTCTCCCGCTGGTCTATCCCTCCCTCTTTGGTCTCTCATTCTCTCCCTCTCTCCCTTCAGAAGAGCAGAGGAGGTGAGTCCAGGCCTTGGGGATTACAGACTGTACATTAAACATGGACAAGTCAAACTTTATAAGGACATAAAGCAGGACCCGTCACCTGCAGCGGTCTCGGTCCAACAGGTCTGAGTCTGAGTCCGAGTCCGAGTCTGAGCCTGAGCCTGAGCGTGGACACTGGTCTCATGATTCAAAACCGTTGTAGAAATGTCATATTTGGAAACGAGGAGCGAGGAACTTTTAGAGTTTTTATGCCGACGCTAAAAAAGCAAGACACATAAACTGGTGTGTTCACAGGAAAGAGTGAAGGGAAATATCTGGACTTTAAAAGGTTATAAATCAAAAACTAAATAAACTATCAGACTGGAACAAAGATTTCAAGCTCAGACATATTAAAGAGAAAGTGTGAATGAAATCAAAAGGAAAGATTGACAAACACATCTGTGGCGAAATGCTAAACCCAGCCCAGATGAAGAAGAACTCCACAGATTCACTTTAACAACATCAGGAATCATAAAATACAAAACAAATATATCAATTGTAATGACCCTTGAAAAAACATAATGTATCTTGTGATGATTAAAATCTAATGTTTGTCACACTTTGGAACCCTTCAGTGTGAACGAGACCATGTGATCGTCCTCAAAGACACTGTTGTTACTGCATTGGTATTGGATTCTATTATTATTTAAACCAGTTTTTATATTTATGATAATTATGTTGTTGATGCCTGGTCTTCGGTCCTTCAGACTCCTGTGCTTTTATCTCTTCTGTGGCCTCCTCTGTTTCACGCTATGACTTTGGGATTTTCCCGCTGACTCTTCCTTTTGCAATCCTGTTTCAGGGAAAGTGTCACTCCCTGGTCTGTCTCTCTGGTCTGTCTCTGGTCTGTCCCTGGTCTGTCTCTCTGGTCTGTCTCTCTGGTCTCTCTCTGGTCTGTCTCTCTGGTCTGTCTCTGGTCTGTCTCTGGTCTGTCTCTGGTCTGTCTCTGGTCTGTCTCTCTGGTCTGTCTCTCTGGTCTCTCTCTGGTCTGTCTCTCTGGTCTGTCTCTGGTCTCTCTCTGGTCTGTCTCTCTGGTCTGTCTCTGGTCTGTCTCTGGTCTGTCTCTGGTCTGTCCCTGGTCTGTCCCTGGTCTGTCTCTGGTCTCTCTCTGGTCTCTCTGTGGTCTGTCTCTGGTCTGTCTCTGGTCTCTCTCTGGTCTGTCTCTGGTCTGTCTCTCTGGTCTGTCTCTGGTCTGTCTCTGGTCTCTCTCTGGTCTGTCTCTGGTCTGTCTCTCTGGTCTGTCTCTGGTCTGTCTCTAGCCTCTCTCTGGTCTCTCTCTCTGGTCTCTCTCTCTGGTCTCTCTCTGGTCTCTCTCTGGTCTCTCTCTGGTCTCTCTCTAGTCTCTCTGGTCTCTCTCTGGTCTCTCCCTCGTCTCTCTCTGGCCTCTCTCTGGCCTCTCTCTCTGGTCTCTCTCTCTGGTCTCTCTCTCTGGTCTCTCTCTCTGGTCTCTCTCTGGTCTCTCTCTCTGGTCTCTCTCTGGCCTCTCTCCGGTCTCTCTCTGGTCTCTCTCTGGCCTCTCTCTCTGGTCTCTCTCTGGTCTCTGGTCTCTCTCTGGTCTCTCTCTGGTCTCTGGTCTCTCTCTGGCCTCTCTCTGGTCTCTCTCTGGCCTCTCTCTGGTCTCTCTCTGGCCTTTCTCTGGTCTCTCTCTGGTCTCTCTCTGGGACCATCTGTGTAAACTACTTCAGAGACACTGCAGTAAAACAGTTATTTGAAAAACAAACAGAGGTCTCTCTCCTGCAGGTCGCAGCGATCTCTTCAAAAAGGAGGAATTCTGACTCAACAAACCATCGGTGACTCCTTCTCCACATTCCTCCAACTTCAACTTTAAAACAACATTTCTGCAGAATTTGTAAGAGGTCAGAGGGTTTAGTTAGAATTTCACAGATTGGGCTGTCTCTCTCACTGGTCTCTCTCACTGGTCTCTCTCTGGTCTCTCTCTGGTCTCTCTCTGGCCTCTCTCTCTGGCCTCTCTCTCTGGTCTCTCTCTCTGGCCTCTCTCTCTGGTCTCTCTCTGGTCTGTCTCTCTGGTCTCTCTCTGGTCTCTCTCTAGCCTCTCTCTCTGGTCTCTCTCTCTGGTCTCTCTCTGGTCTCTCTCTCTGGTCTCTCTCTGGTCTCTCTCTGGTCTCTCTCTGGTCTCTCTCTGGTCTCTCTCTGGTCTCTCTCTGGTCTCTCTCTAGCCTCTCTCTGGTCTCTCTCTGGTCTCTCTCTGGTCTCTCTCTGGTCTCTCTCTGGTCTCTCTCTGGTCTCTCTCTGGTCTCTCTCTGGTCTCTCTCTGGTCTCTCTCTGGTCTCTGTCTCTGGTCTCTCTCTGGTCTCTCTTTAGTCTCTCTTTAGTCTCTCTCTGGTCTCTCTCTGGTCTCTCTCTGGCCTCTCTCTGGTCTCTCTCTCTGGTCTCTCTCTGGTCTCTCTCTGGTCTCTCTCTGGTCTCTCTCTGGTCTCTCTCTCTGGTCTCTCTCTGGTCTCTCTCTGGTCTCTCTCTCTGGTCTCTCTCTGGTCTCTCTCTCTGGTCTCTCTCTGGTCTCTCTCTGGTCTCTCTCTCTGGTCTCTCTCTGGTCTCCCTCTGGTCTCTCTCTGGTCTCCCTCTGGTCTCTCTCTGGTCTCCCTCTGGTCTCGTTCTGGTCTCTCAGAGGTGTGACTAAAGCTAACAGTCTGGACAGTGTTAGCGTTTATTAGCAGCAGCTGTTTCCGCTTTTCCAGAAGTTTACGTCTTGAGAGTTTTTTCTGCCTTAATTCAAACCATCTCAAGTCGCTGCTAATGTCTGCTGCTGATGACTCTGACCACGGTGGGAAAGACAGGTGTGTTGTTTAGACCTGCACTGCTTTTCACCACAGGGAAGACAGGAGCGTGTCCAAACAAGTATTTGATGTTAAAAATGCTCCCTATGGACCAATACCTCTCTCTGGTCTCTCCCTGGTCTCTCCCTGGTCTCTCTCTGGTCTTCCTCTGGTCTCTCTCTGGTCTTTCTGTGGTCTCTCCCTGGTCTCTCTCTAGTCTCTCTCTAGTCTCTCTCTAGTCTCTCTCTAGTCTCTCTCTGGTCTCTCTCTAGTCTCTCTCTGGTCTCTCTCTCTGGTCCCTCTCTGGTCTCCCTCTGGTCTCTCTCTGGTCTCCCACTGGTCTCTCTCTGGTCTTTCTCTCTGGTCTCTCTCTGGTCTCTCTCTAGTCTCTCTCTGGTCTCTCTCTGGTCTCTCTCTCTGGTCCCTCTCTGGTCTCCCTCTGGTCTCTCTCTGGTCTCTCTCTCTGGTCTTTCTGTGGTCCCTCTCTGGTCTCTCTCTGGTCTCTCTCTCTGGTCTCCCTCTGGTCTCTCTCAGGTCTTTCTGTGGTCCCTCTCTGGTCTCTCGCTGGTCTTCCTCTGGTCTCTCTGTGGTCTCTCACTGGTCTCTCTCTGGTCTCTCTCTAGTCTGTCTCTGGTCTCTCTCTCTGGTCCCTCTCTGGTCTCCCTCTGGTCTTTCTGTGGTCTCTCTCTGGTCTCCCTCTGGTCTCTCTCTGGTCTCTCTCTGGTCTCTCTTTGGCCTCTCTCTGGCCTCTCTCTGGTCTCTCTCTGGTCTCTCTCTGGTCTCTCTCTGGTCCCTCTCTGGTCTTCCTCTGGTCTCTCTCTGGTCTCTCTCTGGTCTTCCTCTGGTCTTTCTGTGGTCTCTCTCTGGTCTCCCTCTGGCCTCTCTCTGGTCTCTCTCTGGTCTCTCTTTGGCCTCTCTCTGGCCTCTCTCTGGTCTCTCTCTGGTCTCTCTCTGGTCCCTCTCTGGTCTTCCTCTGGTCTCTCTCTGGTCTCTCTCTGGTCTTCCTCTGGTCTCTCTCTGGTCCCTCTCTGGTCTCTCTCTCTGGTCTCCCTCTGGTCTCTCTCAGGTCTTTCTGTGGTCCCTCTCTGGTCTCTCGCTGGTCTTCCTCTGGTCTCTCTGTGGTCTCTCACTGGTCTCCCTCTGGTCTCCCTCTGGTCTCCCTCTGGTCTCCCTCTGGTCTCCCTCTGGTCTCTCTCTGGTCTCTCTCTGGTCTTTCTGTGGTCTCTCTCTGGTCTCCCTCTGGCCTCTCTCTGGTCTCTCTCTGGTCTCTCTCTGGTCTCTCTCAAAAACAGATTATTAAATAAATAAAAAACAAACAAAAAATTAGAATAAAATTACAGTAAAATTTAAATTAAATAAAATTTAAGAAGAACAAAATAAATACATAACAATAATAATAATAATAATAATAAATTATATTATAAAACCCCCCAAAAAAACAAAAATAAAGGTAAATAAATTAAATTTAAAATTTTAAAATCTGAATTTGCTCTATATGCTTGTGGTTCTGTAATGTAAACTAATTTTGCATTCCTAATAAACAAACTTATGAAAAAAATATATATATACAAGGTGTAAAAATGTGTCTTTAGACACATTGGACTTTGGAGACGAGACCCGGGGACATGTGTGTGCAGGGGAAGCTAGCTGGGGTCGTATTATTGTGCTATATAATTAAAAGTGCCTTCCTTCTCTCACCCCTGGAACAGGAACAGGTTGACGTAGTTGTAGCTCTTGGTGAGGAAGTTCCCCAGGACCCGAGTGGGGTAACCACAGCGGATCTGGTACGCAGAGAGGCCGAAGTAAATACACTTCACAAAATACCACATCTGAGCCACGCGGTTCTCACTGAAGCGCCTGGGGAGAGAGAGGAGGGGGAGGTCAGGGGGAGGGAGAGAGAGAGAGAGAGAGAGGAGGCGGAGGTCAGGGGGAGAGTGTGTGTGAGAGAGAGAGAGAGAGGAGGGGGAGGTCAGGGGGAGAGTGTGTGTGAGAGAGAGAGAGAGAGGAGGGGGAGGTCAGGGGGAGAGTGTGTGTGAGAGAGAGAGAGAGAGGAGGGGGAGGTCAGGGGGAGAGTGTGTGTGAGAGAGAGAGAGAGGAGGGGGAGGTCAGGGGGAAAGTGTGTGTGAGAGAGAGAGAGAGGAGGGGGAGGTCAGGGGGAGAGTGTGTGTGAGCGAGAGAGAGAGAGAGGAGGGGGAGGTCAGGGGGAGAGTGTGTGTGAGAGAGAGAGAGAGGAGGGGGAGGTCAGGGGGAGAGTGTGTGTGAGAGAGAGAGAGAGAGAGAGAGAGAGAGAGAGAGAGAGAGAGAGGAGGGGGAGGTCAGGGGGAGAGTGTGTGTGAGAGAGAGAGAGAGAGGAGGGGGGAGGTCAGGGGGAGAGTGTGTGTGAGAGAGAGAGAGAGAGGAGGAGGGGAGGTCAGGGGGAGAGTGTGTGTGAGAGAGAGAGAGAGGAGGGGGAGGTCAGGGGGAGAGTGTGTGTGAGAGAGAGAGAGAGGAGGGGGAGGTCAGGGGGGAGAGTGTGTGTGTGAGAGAGAGAGAGAGGAGGGGGAGGTCAGGGGGAGAGTGTGTGGTGAGAGAGAGAGAGAGGAGGGGGAGGTCAGGGGGAGAGTGTGTGTGAGAGAGAGAGAGAGAGGAGGGGGAGGTCAGGGGGAGAGTGTGTGTGAGAGAGAGAGAGAGGAGGGGGAGGTCAGGGGGAGAGTGTGTGTGAGAGAGAGAGAGAGAGGAGGGGGAGGTCAGGGGGAGAGTGTGTGTGAGAGAGAGAGAGAGAGAGGAGGGGGAGGTCAGGGGGAGAGTGTGTGTGAGAGAGAGAGAGAGGAGGGGGAGGTCAGGGGGAGAGTGTGTGTGAGAGAGAGAGAGAGAGAGAGAGAGAGAGAGAGAGAGAGAGAGAGAGAGAGAGAGAGAGAGAGAGAGAGAGAGGAGGGTGAGGTCAGGGGGGAGGGAGAGAGTGTGTGTGAGAGAGAGAGAGAGAGAGAGAGAGAGAGAGAGAGAGAGAGAGAGAGAGAGAGAGAGAGAGAGAGAGAGAGGGGGAGGTCAGGGGGGAGGGAGAGAGTGTGTGTGTGTGTGTGTGTGAGAGAGAGGAGGGAGAGAGAGTGTGTGTGTCTGTGTGCATCTGTCTGTGTGCGTGTGTGTGCGTCTCTGTGTGTATGACTGTATGTGTATGTATTTGCGTAGGTGTGGGTGCATCTGTGTATATGTGTGTGTCTCTCAGTGTGTGTGCGTCTCTGTATGTATGTGTGTGTGTGTCTGTGTGTGTCTGTGTGTGTGTCCGCAGCTCTCACTTGTCGGTGACTCCAGGCAGAATGAAGAACATCCAGAAGTGGATCCCGAACAGAAGAATGACCTGGAAGATGACCTTCCCCACCACAGACTTGCGCAGGTACAAGGCCCGGTCCACCACCATGGTCCCGAACTGGATCAGAACCATCACCAGGAACGGGCCCGGAACCTGGTCCTCGGACAGAGACGAGGTGATGTCTGCGGCCGAGTGTTTCTGCAGACGCACAAAGACACAAACCATCACCACATCCTCTAACCACTGAATCTGTCGCTGTTATGACTTCAGCTGTAGTCTGTTCATTGCTATTCACCCGCTGTCCCACTGTTTTATAGGTGTCCCCTGCACCACACAGTCTCAGTCCTGGATCTACAGCCTCAGTCCTGGATCTACAGCCTCAGTCCTGGATCTACAGCCTCAGTCCTGGATCTACAGCCTCAGTCCTGGATCTACAGCCTCAGTCCTGGGTCTACAGCCTCAGTCCTGGGTCTACAGCCTCAGTCCTGGGTCTACAGCCTTAGTCCTGGGTCTACAGCCTCAGTCCTGGGTCTACAGCCTCAGTCCTGGATCTACAGCCTCAGTCCTGGATCTACAGCCTCAGTCCTGGGTCTACAGCCTCAGTCCTGGATCTACAGCCTCAGTCCTTCTCTGTCGGGACCAATGGCTTTGTGTGTTTATGTTTATTTGGTGCTTTGGTGACCTGTGGTAGTGTGTTCTCCAGGACCTGCCGATGGGACGCTAATGCTAATGCTAATGCTAATGCTAACGACCTGCTAATGGGACGGTGCAATACTACAGTTTATTCTTGTGTTGAAATTGCGCAGATGAGCTTTAAACCTAGAAAACAAAGTCGCTCTCTCTGTATGAAAAAGGTTGGGGGCCGCTGCTCTGGGGCCGCTGTGAAACTGGACTCACCCCAAACGCCCAGAAGCCGAAGACGATGATGATGAAGTCCACGGTGTCGGCGAGAAACATCATGACGTAGACATCGGTGACGGCGCTGTACTCCGGGTGGATCAGGTTATAGAAGAACTGCCTTATGGGTAAGTAGATCTCCAGGACCCTACACACAACAACACAACAGACACACAATGACAACAACAGGCTGTGAGATTGAGAAATATCTAAATTGTGTGTGTGTGTACGTGTGTGTGTGTGTACGTGTGTGTGTGTGTGTGCGTGTGTGTGTGTGAAGCAGTTTATCACCACTGACCAGAGAGAGACCAGAGAGAGACCAGAGAGACCAGAGAGAGACCAGAGAGAGACCAGAGAGAGACCAGAGAGAGACCAGAGAGAGAGACCAGAGAGAGACCAGAGAGAGACCAGAGAGAGACCAGAGATAGACCAGAGAGAGACCAGAGAGAGACCAGAGATAGACCAGAGAGAGACCAGAGAGAGACCAACATATGCTACGCCTCCCTCTGGTGGTAGCAGAGGGAATTACAGGTAGAAAGCATGCTTACCATCGATACTTGTTTTTCCCATTATCATTATTCTTTGTAAATGTACTTTTCTACAGTTTGATTGTATGTGATGTCAGCAGAGTTTAGGGTCGGACTCTTGCCTCCGGATCATGAATCCTTTGCCCTTGTACAGCTGCTCCTTCACTTTCTCCAAAATCATCTCTTTGCGTGTTTTGAGCCGAACACTGATCTCGCTGCGGAGACTGCTGTGGCGAGACGTCACGCTTCCTGTGGGACCATCAACATGTCAGAGAGTTAATGAAGTGTGAGGAGAGGCTGACGACAGAGACCAGAGAGAGACCAGAGGGAGACCAGAGAGAGACCAGAGAGAGACCAGAGAGAGACCAGAGAGAGACCAGAGGGAGACCAGAGGGAGACCAGAGAGAGACCAGAGAGAGACCAGAGGGAGACCAGAGGGAGACCAGAGAGAGACAAGAGAGACCAGAGGGAGTCCAGAGGGAGACCAGAGAGAGACCAGAGAGAGACCAGAGGGAGACCAGAGAGAGACCAGAGAGAGACCAGAGAGAGACCAGAGAGAGACCAGAGGGAGACCAGAGAGAGACAAGAGAGAGACCAGAGAGAGATCAGAGAGAGACCAGAGAGAGACCAGAGAGAGAGACCAGAGAGAGACCAGAGAGAGACCAGAGAGAGACCAGAGGGAGACCAGAGGGAGACCAGAGAGAGACAAGAGAGAGACAAGAGAGACCAGAGGGAGTCCAGAGGGAGACCAGAGAGAGACCAGAGAGAGACCAGAGAGAGATCACAGAGAGACCAGAGAGAGACCACAGAGAGAGACCAGAGAGAGACACAAGACAAACCAGAGAGAGCAGCCAGAGACCAGTGACCAGGGACCAGAGAGAGACCAGAGAGAGACCAGAGAGAGACCAGAGAGAGACCAGAGAGAGACCAGAGAAAGACCAGAGAGAGAGACCAGAGAGCGTGAGACCTGTACCTCTCTTGGAGCGAGCAGACGAATGCAGAGACTTCTGGGACATGAGCGAGCCTCCGGACGTGGAGCTCTTGCGTCGCTGGTACGTCTGAGGCGGAGGACACGACACCTGCACCGTCTCCGGGTCCATGGGCGTCCCGAAGGTGATGGACTTCAGGGTGGTCCCAGAGCCCCTCCTCTGAGAGACACTGCGCAGGGACTCGGACTCGCTCTCATCGGCCTTGGACTTCTCCTCCTCAGACCTGGACCTCTCCTCCTCGGACTCCTCAGAGGGACCAGGAGGAGCTGGCTTCTGTTTGGGGTCATCGTCGTCCCACAGGCCGTGACACTGCAGCAACACGGCGCCAGGTGTTTAAGAAATCTAGAAAAGGATTCTCTTGGAGGGGATTACGGGAGCTACACAGATGGAGGCTACGATCAGAAGTGGATGTAGAATGCTGCTGTTTGCTCACAGGGACACAGAGAGCACATCACCCCTGTCCTGTTTGCTCACAGGGACACAGAGAGCACATCACCCCTGGGCTGTTTGCTCACAGGGACACAGAGAGCACATCACCCCTGGGCTGTTTGCTCACAGGGACACAGAGAGCACATCACCCCTGGGCTGTTTGCTCACAGGGACACAGAGAGCACATCACCCCTAGGCTGTTTGCTCACAGGGACACAGAGAGCACATCATCCCTAGGCTGTTTGCTCACACGGACACAGAGAGCACATCACCCCTGGGCTGTTTGCTCACAGGGACACAGAGAGCACATCACCCCTGGGCTGTTTGCTCACAGGGACACAGAGAGCACATCACCCCTGGGCTGTTTGCTCACAGGGACACAGAGAGCACATCACCCCTGGGCTGTTTGCTCACACGGACACAGAGAGCACATCACCCCTAGGCTGTTTGCTCACAGGGACACAGAGAGCACATCACCCCTGGGCTGTTTGCTCACACGGACACAGAGAGCACATCACCCCTGGGCTGTTTGCTCACAGGGACACAGAGAGCACATCACCCCTGGGCTGTTTGCTCACACGGACACAGAGAGCACATCACCCCTGGGCTGTTTGCTCACAGGGACACAGAGAGCACATCACCCCTGGGCTGGCCTCACTTCACTGGCTCCTGACCCATTCAGGGTTGATTTTTGGATTTTGATGCCAGTTTTTAAATTGTTTAGCCCCCTGTGTATCTGATAGAGCTGTACTCTCCATATGTAGTCTCTCTGGTCTCTCTCTGGTCTCCCTCTGGTCTCCCTCTGGTCTCCCTCTGGTCTCCCTCTGGTCTCTCTCTGGCGTCTGGTCTCTCTCTGGCCTCTCTCTGGTCTCTCTCTGGTCTCTCTCTGGTCTCTCTCTGCTCTCTCTCTGCTCTCTCTCTGGTCTCTCTCTGGTCTCTCTCTGCTCTCTCTCTGCTCTCTCTCTGCTCTCTCTCTGCTCTCTTTCTGCTCTCTCTCTGGTCTCTCTCTCTGGTCTCTCTGGCCTCTCTCTGGCCTCTCTCTGGTCTCTCTCTGGTCTCTCTCTGCTCTCTCTCTGGCCTCTCTCTGGTCTCTCTCTGGCCTCTCTCTGGCCTCTCTCTGGCCTCTCTCTGGCCTCTCTCTGGCCTCTCTCTGGTCTCTCTCTGGTCTCTCTCTGGTCACCTTGAGGATGGAGCGGTGGAAGAAGAGGGCGAGCAGCTGCACCAGGTCGTAGTGCACGTACCCTCCTGAGTCTGGGTCTGGGTCTGGGTCCGGGTCCGGGTCTGGGTCTGGGTCTGGGTCTGACCTTGAGGATGGAGCGGTGGAAGAAGAGGGCGAGCAGCTGCACCAGGTCGTAGTGCACATACCCCTCCTTCTTCTCCACCCCGATGATGTTCGGAGGATAGAAGGCTTTGTTCTTGTCCAGATTGTGCTGATTAAAGGGAAAGAACCCAAACTGGAAGAAGTATTTGATCACGATGGTGACCTGCGGACACAGAGCAGAAGGACTCTACAGACACAGAGCAGGACACAGAGCAGGACACAGAGCGGGACTCTACCGGACACAGAGCAGGACACAGAGCAGGACACAGAGCAGGACTCTACAGGACACAGAGCAGGACTCTACGGGACACAGAGCAGGACACAGAGAAGGACACAGAGCAGGACTCTACGGGACACAGAGCAGGGCAGATGGACTCTACATGAAGCTGGAATCATGGGAATGACATCAATGGACGTAATGTTGTTCAAACAAATGGAAGAACAACGAAGAACGAAAGTGTGGATCTTTAGAAAACTGATGGATTTCAAAAGAAAAAACTTCAGGAGACACACAATACTCCAGAGAGAGAGAGAGAGAGAGAGAGAGAGAGAGATGGGAGGGACCAGAGAGAGAGACAGAGAATGAGACCATAGAGAGAGAGAAATGAGAGAGACCAGAGAGAGAGAGAGAGAATGAGACCATAGAGAGAGAGAAATGAGAGAGACCAGAGAGAGAGAGAGAGAGAGAGAGGGACATGAGAGAGACCAGAGAGAGAGAGAGAGAATGAGACCATAGAGAGAGAGAAATGAGAGAGACCAGAGAGAGAGAGAGAGAGAGAGAGACATGAGAGAGAACAGAGAGAGAGAGAAATGAGAGAGACCAGAGAGAGAGAGAGAGAGAGACATGAGAGAGAACAGAGAGAGAGAGAAATGAGAGAGACCAGAGAGAGAGAGACATGAGAGAGAGCAGAGAGAGGGATATGAGAGTGACCAGAGAGAAGCCAGAAAGCCTGAGGACGCACTGTTTTAGTGAACTCTGATGGAGTTGTGACATCAGCTCTGGGTTAGTCCACTCCTCCTTTCTCCTACCTCCTTCCTCCTACCTCCTTCCTCCTACCTCCTCACCTCTGTGTACACAATGGCGGTCATCCAGTAGCGCTTGCTGGGCCGTGGCACCGAGAGCATGGCCCAGAGGAAGATGGAGATGGGGAGGACCAGCGTGATGCAGGAGGCCGACACCATGTGGTTGATGATGATGACCAGGAAGCAGACCATCTCCGAGTGCGCCACCAGCATGTTGTAGAGCGCGTAGACCAGCTGCAGGACCAGCGGCTGCGCACTGTAGAACTTCTCTGACTGATCCAGCTCCTCGTCATAGAACATCCTGGAAAAAAACACATTTTAAAGAAAGGTAAAGTAGAGTAGAGTAGAGCCAGGTAGAGTAGAGTAGCCTGGATGTACTACCTGGAGTAGCCTGGATGTACTACCTGGAGCAGCTTGGATGTACTACCCACTAGATTTCTAAAGTCTGTTCTGAGCAGTCTGTTACCTTCACTCACACAGATAGTAAACATGTCCCTTCATTCTGGAATATTCCCAAAGGCCCTGAAAACTGCAGTCATCAGGCCCCTGCTAAAAAAGAGCAGTCTGGATGCTACGGTACTTAACAACTATCGTCCCATCTCAAATCTGCATTTATGGGGAAAGTCCTTGAGAAAGTTGTCTACCTACAGCTTACTAGATTTCTTATAATCAACAACTCATTTGATATGTTTCAGTCCGGCTTTAGACCCCACCACAGCACTGAGACTGCTCTTGTTAAGGTTACAAACGATATCCGGCTGAACACTGACGCAGGCAAAGTCTCAATCTTAATCTTGTTAGATCTAAGTGCTGCCTTTGACACTGTCGACCATGAGATCCTCTTACAGAGACTAGAGGACTGGGTTGGAGTCACTGGCACCGCCCTAAGTTGGTTTAGGTCTTACCTTGAGGACAGGAAGTACTTTGTGGAGATTGGAAACTGTGTCTCAGATCATATGGCCCTGACCTGTGGAGTCCCACAGGGGTCAATCCTGGGACCTCTTCTGTTCAATCTCTACATGCTGCTGTTAGGTCAGTTAATACGCAGAAACAAAGTTTCCTATCATAACTATGCAGACGACACTCAGATCTATGTCTCACTGACTGCAGGAGAACATGGACCAGTGGACTCACTCCTTCACTGTATCCAACAGATCAGTGAGTGGATGCAAAACAACTTCCTTCAGCTAAACGCAGACAAAACTGAAATGATTGTCTTTGGTCCCCAGAAACAAAGAGAGAGCGTCATCTGTCACCTCCAGTCTCTCTCCCTAAAACCTTCAAACAAGGTCAGAAATCTAGGGGTAATACTGGACTCAGACTTAAATTTTAATAGCCACATCAAATCAGTAACATCAGCAGCTTTTTACCATCTAAAAAACAATGCCAGGATCAAAAACATAGTGTCTAAAGCAGACCTGGAGATTCTTATCCATGCATTTGTCTCCAGTAGGTTAGACTACTGCAATGGCCTGCTCACAGGTCTGTCCAAACAGGCTGTAAAACAGCTGCAGTACATTCAAAATGCAGCAGCTCCAGTCCTGACTAGAACCAGGAAGTACAACCACATTAGTCCTGACTAGAACCAGGAAGTACGACCAAATTAGTCCTGACTAGAACCAGGAAGTACGACCACATTAGTCCTGACTAGAACCAGGAAGTACGACCATATTAGTCCAGTTCTCAGGTCTCTGCACTGGCTTCCTGTGGCTCAGAGAATAGACTTTAAAACAGCTCTGCTTGTTACAAGTCTCTCCATGGCCTCGCACCAAAATATATTAGTGACATGTTAGTCCCATATGAACCAGCCCGGACTCTGAGGAGCACAGGGACTGGCCTCCTGCTGGGACTCTGAGGAGCACAGGGACTGGACTCCTGCTGGGACTCTGAGGAGCACAGGGACTGGACTCCTGCTGGGACTCTGAGGAGCACAGGGACTGGACTCCTGCTGGGACTCTGAGGAGCACAGGGACTGGACTCCTGCTGGGACTCTGAGGAGCACAGGGACTGGACTCCTGCTGGGACTCTGAGGAGCACAGGGACTGGACTCCTGTTAGTGCCCAGAGTCAGAACTAAACATGGGGAGGCTGCTTTTCAGATTCATGCTGCTAAAATCTGGAACAGTCTTCCTGAAGATGTGAGACAGGCCTCCTCGCTGACAATGTTTAAAACCAGGTTAAAGACAGTTCTGTTTAGCTGTGCTACAACTGAGGGATTTTATATTTTTATCTTTCTTTTTAATGTTCTGTGATTATTTATGATTTTAATGCTATCTTGTTCAGCACTTTGAGTTGCTTTGTGTATGAATTGTGCTATACACATAAACTTGCCTTGCCTTGCCTAGAGTAGAGTGGAGTAGAGTAGAGTAGGGTTTCTCACTTGTTGAGCAGCAGCTCACTGGCCGTCAGTTCTGTGGTGAAGGAGGGCAGCAGGTCGGAGCGGCTGCAGTCAGACTGACTGTCGGGCGTCATGACCATCATCCTCCTGTGCTCCATGTCGCTCTCGTCCTCGCTCACCTCCAGGCGGTCGAAGCTCACGGCTTTACTGTAACTGGGAGGAACCTCTGCGTCCGACACTTTAGAGGCGTCTGTGTCCGGGGTGTACAGCAGCGCCCCCTGTGGCCAAGGAGGAGCATAGTCAGTCTCAGAACAGGTGGGAGACCAGAGAGAGACCAGAGAGAGAGACCAGAGAGAGACCAGAGAGAGACCAGAGAGAGAGACCAGAGAGAGACCAGAGAGAGAG